TTTTTAATTTGCTCAATTGTTTTACCTTCAGTATATGGGACCACTGGCAATTTTGTCATGATTAAGTACTAACAGTGTCAATAAAACCTTAGGGTAGGCATTTTGAGTCATAAATAAATTGAGTAGGTATGAAACCTTAAACACAAGCATATTTGTTTTGGCCTAAACATATTAACATGAATTTTTGTCAATATATCTATGAAATATCGATAATCGTCTTATGAATGAAATATTTGCCACAGGACACATTGCAACACAAATCAACCAATCATGAAACCATAAAAATTAGCATTTCACTTTTCAGTTTGGCTGCCATTGTGATGTTCTTTGTCTTGAACCTTTAAAAATGTTACTAGGGAAATCCTGGACAATTAATTTTATTTGCATGTAGAGGCCTCAACATGAGAATAGTAAAGCTTTTTTTTATTGCTTTTCATATTTTAAGTGTGAGTTTTAAGGAAATAAGAGCGAAAAGACTGAAATTCATAATTTAAGATATAATTTTGGCACATCTTTACAAGATTGTTATTTAATCTTCCCATTCTGAGATAAAACTTAAAAATATGCATGATATTATGCACCTGACTTGAGATTTATTATTGCAGTGCTGACTTGAGATTTATTATTGCAGTGCTGACTCATTTTCTTGAATGATTTCATTAATTAGTAAGTAGCTTTTGCCAATGAACTGTCACTCCTCTGATGTTTCCATGTCAGTCAGTGGCGCAACATCTCTTTAAGAAACATATGTCCATTGTCTATATCTCTTTAATATAATAAGTATTAAGTATGCTGATGGTGGGAGTGTGAATACAGGTTATTATACAGTGAATGTAGGTCACAGTGGTACTGACAAGAGTATGTCCAGTTCAAATGAAAATAGGTAAAATTCTAGTTTTATCTTATAAGTCGTGTTCGTAGTGTGTCCAGCAAATTATAAAGTGAAATAGGTCAAAACGGCTGATTTTTGTAAAGTGTATAATCAACAAATCGGTCACAAGTAACTATTGAAAACTGAGAGTAAATGTAGGTTGCTTTAGAGAGAAAATATTTTTTTAGAAATATGTTCCGTTGTATTTTGTGCAGTTAATTTAAATATTTGTTTCATAGAAAACCGCTTTGCAATCTAAACAATATTTTCATTTCAGTGGAAACTTCTGATAATCAAAAGTTTTATCTCTCTTAATAACTCAAATGTCTAGTAAATAAATGTAGGTTAAGTAAATTGTTGGTTCCTTTCTGATAAGGATAATCATTGCATTTTTGTGTGCATATCATGCATATTTTGTTTTTGAACATGTAGCTGTAAATATTCCTATACATAAATAAATATGTACACCCTCTTCCTATATGACACATAATAAACAACTTTTTACAGAGAAGGGATTAATCAATTATCAGTAAAATACATGTACATGTAAAATGCATTCTTATATAAAAGAAAACATTATGTTCAACACACCTTGTTTATTATTAAAAGACCTTCGATAAAGATCATAAGAAATGGTATTAAATATGTATTTTAAATAACACCCACTCTTGACTATCTAGTTTGAAAATATAAAATATGGTTATAAAGCATGACCACAATGTTAGATAAAAAAAAATCATAGCATACATCTTCATTAGCATATTTCACCAATTTGTTTAAAATTTATTAGAAAAATCAGACGAAAAAGTAATGGTGATTTGTTCATTTAAATTATATGAAAAAATGGTAAAATGTAGTTGATAATGTCCTTTATGTGGTGTTTTACCCAGTTAAGTAGGACAAGGGGATTACTTCATGCTGCAAATATTAGGGCTTCAGTTGCATCTTAATTTACTGATAAAATCACAATTTTCAAGAATTTGGAAGATTTAGTAATTTTATATTACAAGAGAACAAGACTTGCTCTTCTTTATTGGAACATACATGTACTACATGTTTTTGTTGAATAGATATTACTTGTAAAAACATTTTTATATTTTACATTTCTATAGAAAGTTTTAAAACAGTGATGGTAAATTTAATATATATATGTATCTAACATGAGAGGATATAATCATATTGTTAGCATGTAAAACAAGTTAATTTTTTACAATGGTAAGGTGTGTCTCAGCTGCAGGGTAAACAGATCTCTTACTTGTTCAGGGATGAATCTTTATCCTTTGAACTTTTGTCATTTTATCATTATTCATTGTCTTGCCCAAGGACAGATAACTGTGTAAACTAGACCATGGGTGTGAGGAAAAGAGAATATTTGTAAGGTTTATCATACAAAATCTGAAAAGATGACAACTTATTAAAAATAGTATTTGTTTTAAAATTAAACAAAAAATGATTGATATTTAAATTGTTATGAGGATATAACTATAAACCTTGAAGCGAAACAATCAAAATCTTTGATGTTCTGTTATTTCAAAACAAACACTTTCATATTCTTATTGGACATAATTTTGTAATTTTAGTCTTTCTATGTTATAACATTTACATTTTGGATAAAGCAAAGAAGTTTTCAGCAAAGTAATTGTTTTGCTTTACTTTTGGTTCGTATCAATGTGGAAAGACATAAGTGAATTTAAGTTCAAATTATGATATTTTTTTTTAACAAAAGTTTGAAATTAGCAATTTAAAAGTGAGTTTGCATGATTTGGTATAATAATTTCATACATTTGATAAATACAAGTATGTATTTTTAGTTGTTTTCAAAGTTGAATAGTCCTTCACAATTATAATGACTATGTTATGGTAGATGAGCATTCAAAGGATGGTGTCCTGTTTGAAAGCACAATGCATTATGCACCTTTGTTTTTGGCAGAATACCAGTTCTTAAAGAACCAGTAAGACAGACATATTTGTTTTGATAGTTAAGCAATCACACAAAATCAATCTTTAGAATAGGGATTTGTTGGTGATAGACAATAGTTAATAGTCTGGCATTCTTACAAAGTATACTGACTAAATCTTTTGTCTTTAACCTGTATATAAACTTTCAGTCGTCTACATATTTTGATTTTTCCTTGAGAGTTACTTATAACAATGTGTGCAACAGTGTGTATAAACCTATATCATATCTTTCATTTGCAAGTTACATAATTAAGATATACATTTAAGATAGATATATATATATATATATATATATTTATGTATATTGTACATAAGCTACATTCCTCCTGTAGAGTTATTTATCTATAGATTCACTTTGTGTGTACATAAGAAGATGTTTTATGAGTTGAGTTATTATTTACATGAAGATTTCACCTACAGTACATGTATCATAATGTTTAGTTATTATTCTGTTGCCAATATGTGATTTGGATGTATCAATCCTCCACTAGGGTAGATTAGTTTGTTTTAACTAACTATGTTTACCCTCTTCAAATAAAGAATTTATTATTGTTATTATCATTATCACTAACATATCTCAAGAACTGATGTCATGTGTGCTTGCACCTAATCATTGCATGGGAAAGCCCTTTCCTAAACCAATTTCTTTATTCATTAATCTGAATAATTATTGACCCTAGAATTATTATTTGAAGTCAGTAATATACTTTGATATATAGAGAAACTATTAATATTTTTCACTTTTGTATTGCATTAGCTTCCAGCTTTATAATCATGCTTGATAATAAGTAAACAGATTACAAAGCTTTGAACTAGCTTTCAGTAACTGTGAGTACTCTTAGATCTTTGTGTCTTTTGTCTTTATATTACTTGCGTTTTATGGTTCTTGTCAATCTGATGACTCAAGCTTTTCCGACTGATGATTACAGTATGTTGAGGTGTTGAGGGATCACAAACATGTTTAACCCCACCATATTCTATATGTGCCTATCCTAGTAAGGAGCCTGTAATTCAGTGGTTGTTGTTGGTTGGTATCTGTCATACTTGTTTTTTTGGACTTTTGGTGGATAGGTGTCTCATTGGTAATCATACCACATCTCCTTATGCTATACAAATATCAGATATAAGCCATGTTGTTTTATTTTGAATAAACAAGAATTAAATCAACTTATCCTTGACTCTTTATTATTTTTATTTCAAAGTAGAACTACTGTTGGAGTCCACGCAAGGGAGATAAATGACTTCAAATTAAAGTTTTAGCATAATTAGTTTTTTCTTTCTTGTACTTTCTATGGTAGTGAAAACCCCATTACATAATGAATGAAGTATTTAATGATGTTTAAGTGAGTACTTAAAGGCCACTTTGTACAGTAAAGTGTTCATGCTTCCTGCTGCTACATAACTATTTAATGAGTATTCATTATCAGCTATATATAACATCCTTTCTACAGGAAATTTCTCAGACAAACACAATAAAGAAACATTGTTTTCTAATTTTATTATAATATCTTTCTTTATTATTGTTCTCTTGATTACTATGAATTAAGTTTTTGTTCAGCCAGTTGTGCTTCTTTTACTTTGCCAGATTCGTTTTAAATTTAAGAATGATGAACAAAACAATTTGTGTAAATATAAGGTTGATTAATAGACAACAAAATAAAACACCAAAAGACATCTAGAGACCAATATATGGTTTTCATCAATAGTCAAGTGAGAGTACTAACTGAAAGTATTAGATTTCTAGTAATATTCTTTTTATTAAAGCATTTGGTTTATTTTCTTATTTGTTCAGCTCTAAATGGGAGTAATAAATGTCCGTAAAGCATGGAATAGGGATCATTCTGATACGTCTGAGACTCAACTGTACAATAAAATGTCCGTAAAGAATGGAATAGGGATCAATCTGATACGTCTGAGACTCAACTGTACAATAAAATGTCTCTAACTTACTCATTTGGTCTTCTTTACTGCTTTAGCAAAACGATTTATGTATAGCTATGTTCCAGTAACAGTTCTACCATAAGATGTCTTATTGCATGTAGTATGTATACATGTATTGTGCAGCATTCAACTGTTAGCTGTTTCTGTTTTATAAATGTTAATACAGTGACTTGTGTATATTGGGTGGAGCTGCTTCACAATTGTATAATGTTACTTTTCTATTTTGTAGGACTGTTGTAGTTAAGATGGTACACCATCACTTGTTTCCCCTAGTATTACTATTACTATGGAACCCAGTACAAAGTGCTCCAGAGCAAATAGATTGTTGCCAATGTGGATCACTAGAACTTAGAAGTCCCAAAAGTCTACAACCAAATATTTACCCATCGCCATTCCAAGTTTTAGTCAAAGAAAAACAATATGCACCAGGAGGACTTTCTATAAATGGTAAGAAGAATATAAAAATTTCTGTGAATATTTTAATGGTTTATCATAAGGTAACTGAACCATCTAAATAGTTACAGTAACAAACAAAATATCTTTGCTGCTGTATATCAATAAAAATATGACATGGCTGACACTTTCTTCAGTTAGATACAAATACCTTGAATGATTACTAAAGATCACTTTGGAAAAGGATATTTGTTGTATTTTATTTTTTGACATTTTCAGTGACATTCTGGTGTTTTAAGGATTTTTTATTAGTGAGATATAACTTGATTACTCTGCCTGTGTTTTTGTATTGGATCCTGGTAGTAAAATTTTAGAAAAATAAATTCCAGAATAAAGTTCTGTTGAAATGATAATCCATGTTGTCTGGGCGTTTATAGTGATAAATCATTTATACACCTGTTTAAAACATTAACCTACTTCAATATCATACAATTTGTGTTCACAGAAATATTTATAAATACTACTTCTTCTTTTACATACCAATTTCTTATAAACTAAAACTGTTTTAATTGTCTAAATCCTGAGACAATAGAAACAACAGATAAGAAATGAATTTCCTCATGCCTATTGGCCATATTTACCCCAGAAAAAGTTTTGCTTCCCCTTATGCTCTCTTAAACAGGGGCTCAGCTTGCCATACAAAAACAAAATGATATTAGAATGTAGATGGTTTATGAAACATTATCAGTTGGTCAGTGTAATCATGCCTATAAATATGCTGTTGTTGATATTATCTCCTAAGCTCCTAGGCTATTATTGTGATGATACTTTTATTTACTTTTGCCCCTTTGTTATCTTCTTATATTTTTTACCTGTTGATTGATGTTATCAAATCATAGCTTAATTTCAGCAGTAGGAGTATTTCTTAGTTGTAGTGTTAAAGAAATAGATAGAACATATGATATTGATAGTGCTGTATGAGACCAAATAAAGAATCCATGTGATTGTATTACCCAAATGTTCCTTATCACTGCTATTGAATCTACACTGTTTTTTGAATAACTTTAGATAATCACTATTGATGCTAGCACAATACAAAGATCCTTTCACCTCCACTCATACAACTTCAATCTGTGCTACCTCAAGTATGGTTCTTGCCTAGGTTGCTCTAGAATGCTGGATATCACAAAAATATGACATGGCTGACATTTTTTTTCAGGAACAATACAGGTCCCTTGAATGATTACACAGACTGTGTATTAAGACCAATATAGTTGTACTTTCTGTTTAAATGTAATGCTTTTTTCTGTTTACAGTAAATATCACATCTATAGATAACACCAGAACATTTGTCCACTTTATGCTACAAGCTGTATTTATTAAACAAGATGGCTCTATAAGCAGTGATGATTCGATTGGAGAGTTTATTAATTTAGATGAAGATAAATACACTACTGTAAAAGATTGTGGAGGGGTAAGCCTCTGTAATTATGGATATAATCACTTGTAGAAATTTGAAGATTTTGCAAAATTTGAGCAAAAAGAAGTTTTTTATTTAACTTTATTAAGCATTAAAAAAACAACAAATATTATTGCACATTAGAATAACTTGAAATATTTAGCTCTTCTTGTTAAGAATATAAATACTTCACACATATTTGCTATTACAATATTGTTTAAAACATACAGTCATATTCTGATTGTGCACTGGCAAAGTAAAGTATAGGGGTAAATATTTAGTAAATAATTTGAGATGACAGAAGAATCCTTCCTTAAGATCGCCACACAGATCAAGTATCTAGATATCTAGCAAATTTTATCAAACCAAAAAAAAAAAAAATTAGAAAATTATACACAATATGTGTCATTGTTCTTTTCATAAAAAAAATAGAATACAAATAACTAGCAGTTTTCAACCACAGGAGAGCAGAGCATTATGCTTTCTTAGCTGAAGCCTTGTTTATTCATAGTATCATTTTTATGCCCCCGCCATAGCCGAGGGGGGCATTAAGTTTTACCCTTGTCCGTCTGTACGTACGTCCCAAAATTGGTTTCCATTCTCTTACTTGAGTTTGCCTCAACCAAATGTTATGAAACTTATATACAATGCTTATTACCACAAAATACAGATCAAGTTTGAATTTTGGTGGCGTCACTTTAACCGTTCTAGAGTTATGCCCCTTTATAAATGGAAAAATTGCAAAATGTTTAGTTTCCGTTCTCTAACTTAAGTTTGCCTCAATCAAATGTTATGAAACTTACACACAATGCTTATTACCACTAAATACAGATCAAGTTTGAATTTTGGTAGCGTCACTCTAACCATTCTAGAGTTATGCCCCTTTATAAATGGAAAAATTGCAAAATTTTTAGTTTCCGTTCTCTTATTTAAGTTTGCCTCAACCAAATGTTATGAAACTTTTACACAATGCTTATTACCACAAAGCACAGATCAAGTTTAAATTTTGGTGGCGTCACTTAAACGGTTCTAGAGTTATGCCCCTTTATAATGGAAAAATTGCAAAATTTTTAGTTTCCGTGCTCCAACTTAAGTTTGCTTCAACCAAATGTTATAAAACTTATACGAAATGCTTATTACCACAAAACACAGATCAAGTTCAAATTTGGGTAACGTCACTTTTACCATTCTTCAGTTATGTCCCTTTATAACTATATGATATGCAAGCGGGGGCATCATCTGTGTCCACATGTGGACACAATCCACATTTATTTTTCCATGCCATACTGTGGAATACAAATTCCAAAATATTTATTAAAATAATTATTATCTCCCTTAAACTGGTGGGAATTTGTAGCACAGAAGTTTAGAGGCATTTTATGTGTTACAATTCTGACACAGTTGTTTACCTTATATATATAGTTATACTTTTAATCACCAAGAGATTAAAAAGAAAATCAAATGTTTAAATAAAAGTTTGGGATCTTTCTCTCTCTCACACATTAAACTAGAATACGAGGGAAATCAGGTCATGTACAGAGATCCAAAGTTAGTTGACAACCAAGGCGATCAATAAAAAGATTTTTTGTGAGTAGGTAAATTCCTACATGTGATTGTCAAAATTTGTTGAGTTAACAGATATGATTGCCATTTGGTGCACAAGAAGTTTTTTGTTATTTACTTTATACTCATTTATGATTGATATGTTTTAAAAGTTAATGTTATAATATTATTATTTGCTTTCTTTTCTAGTCAGCTGTGAAGAGTGTTGACAGACTGAAGAAATCTTTAATAAGATTTTCATGGAAAAATGGGGATGTCAAGAGGAAAGGACATATAAAATTCAGGTACATAAAATGAATACACAGAGATTCAGATTTAATAAAATACTCTACCAGGTGCATGATATACTGGTAATCTTTAAAAATGCATAGACAGTTTCTGCAACAAAAACAGTTTTAATTTTGTTGATAATATTAATCTAACTAAAAAATATCAAATATTTGGTAAAAAATGTTAAGAGAATCCTCAAAATTTTCTTTCTTTCTTCTGTCACATCATTGGGTAAAAATGTCAAATTGACTGGAAAGAAAACAGCAAAAAAAATGTCAAATTGACTGAAAGAAAACAGCAATAAAAAAATGTCAAATTGACTAGAAAGAAAACGGCAAAAGAAACTTTATTTTTGGATTGATTTGTTCCTAAGAAAATGTGAAGAGAAAAACATAATGTTTGTTCAAATTGACCTACTTTTGTCATATAAGTATGAGCATTTTAAGTGCCAGTCTTTGTAAGAATCAGGCAATTTAGAAAAATTTAAAACATGGCCAAAAAAAAACCCCAGTGACCTAACCATCCTATTTTGAAGTTACCCTCATCCATAGTTAGAAATGCTAGGTCTTTCGTTTCTGTTTGTCTGGTAATTCAAGAAATCTCTTGATAACTTTGGTTAGAATGATAGCAAATTACAGAGTAATCTCCCCTTAATTGTTGATTTCTAGTGCATTTCAACCAAATAATATCTTGAATTACCAGAACAGGAAAAGGAAATGAATGTTATATTCGTGCACCATTATATAATTTGAACATAAATTAATGTCAACGAGTGGGTTTTTGTTTGTCATGTTTTCACCACTGCCTGATTCTTAGGCAGATTGGCACTTAAAGAGTATTCATCACTGTTTATAGCTTTCTTTGTAGGTTTTGAGTTGGTATTTTGTTTATAATTGAATGAGAATTGTTTCATGATGACATATGAGTTTTGGTCTGATTGACATTATTTATCTGATGATGGTTATTTGTTTTCAACAGTTTAAGAAAAAAGTAAAATAACAAAAATACCGAACTCCAAGGGAAATTCAAAACGGAAAATCCTTTATAAAATGGCAAAATCAAAAGCTCAAACACATCTAACAAATGAATGTCATAAAAGTAACAGTTAATACTTCCTTGTCAGCCTTCTGTAGAGATTCTGTAGTGATATATATATATATACTTGGAATATAAATTGTGCATTATACATAGGTACGAGTTTTGTTTTGGTTGACCTAATTTTGACCTATCTATACCAATGGTACTTGGAAAATTTCCTGCAAGGTATTCTAAAAAGATTTTCTTTCAATTTGAATACTGAAATTTCTTGTTGTTCTGTATATTATTCACATATGTAAGAGTTAGTTTTTGTGTCCAGCCTCAAATCTGTGTCCTTTTTCTCAGATCTGTATGCTATCCTATATTGCATCATAGACTTCACAAATCTGTGTCCTTTTTCTCAGATCTGTATGCTATCCTATATTGCATCATAGACTTCACAAATCTGTGTCCTTTTTCTCAGATCTGTATGCTATCCTATATTGCATCATAGACTTCACAAATCTGTGTCCTTTTTCTCAGATCTGTATGCTATCCTATATTGCATCATAGACTTCACAAATCTGTGTCCTTTTTCTCAGATCTGTATGCTATCCTATATTGCATCATAGACTTCACAAATCTGTGTCCTTTTTCTCAGATCTGTATGCTATCCTATATTGCATCATAGACTTCACAAATCTGTGTCCTTTTTCTCAGATCTGTATGCTATCCTATATTGCATCATAGACTTCACAAATCTGTGTCCTTTTTCTCAGATCTGTATGCTATCCTATATTGCATCATAGACTTCACAAATCTGTGTCCTTTTTCTCAGATCTGTATGCTATCCTATATTGCATCATAGACTTCACAAATCTGTGTCCTTTTTCTCAGATCTGTATGCTATCCTATATTGCATCATAGACTTCACAAATCTGTGTCCTTTTTCTCAGATCTGTATGCTATCCTATATTGCATCATAGACTTCACAAATCTGTGTCCTTTTTCTCAGATCTGTATGCTATCCTATATTGCATCATAGACTTCACAAATCTGTGTCCTTTTTCTCAGATCTGTATGCTATCCTATATTGCATCATAGACTTCACAAATCTGTGTCCTTTTTCTCAGATCTGTATGCTATCCTATATTGCATCATAGACTTCACAAATCTGTGTCCTTTTTCTCAGATCTGTATGCTATCCTATATTGCATCATAGACTTCACAAATCTGTGTCCTTTTTCTCAGATCTGTATGCTATCCTATATTGCATCATAGACTTCACAAATCTGTGTCCTTTTTCTCAGATCTGTATGCTATCCTATATTGCATCATAGACTTCACAAATCTGTGTCCTTTTTCTCAGATCTGTATGCTATCCTATATTGCATCATAGACTTCACAAATCTGTGTCCTTTTTCTCAGATCTGTATGCTATCCTATATTGCATCATAGACTTCACAAATCTGTGTCCTTTTTCTCAGATCTGTATGCTATCCTATATTGCATCATAGACTTCACAAATCTGTGTCCTTTTTCTCAGATCTGTATGCTATCCTATATTGCATCATAGACTTCACAAATCTGTGTCCTTTTTCTCAGATCTGTATGCTATCCTATATTGCATCATAGACTTCACAAATCTGTGTCCTTTTTCTCAGATCTGTATGCTATCCTATATTGCATCATAGACTTCACAAATCTGTGTCCTTTCTTTTTCTCAGATCTGTCAAATCTCTTCAACAAGTCATGTCGTGTCTTATGAAGTCAGAACTAAGCAAAACTTCATCAAGGATATGACGTTTTTGCGTAGAGGGATGATGGCAGAGCAGGATATTTTTCTAGATGAACTATATCTGAATTGGATGAAAATTTTTATATTATGCATATATGGGAAATTTCGTTTTTCTTGAAGCCTTCTTTCTCTGAAGCTGTATGAATAAAGATTTTTAAAAAACATTAGTATATCACACTGAAAGAATGAAATCTAACTTTAATTTTGCATAACTTTTCCCTCTTCTCATTACAAGACAAGTGTATTTATGAAGATTTTATTTCTAATGGCCAAAGAAGGATGAAATAATATACATCATGATCAGTTTTCAATTCAAATATTATTCCCGTATTAATTTTTCATGTCTGATATGGCAAATAATTATGTTTTATTTTATGTGACAGATATAAAGGTTTTTGTACTTTTCCTTGTTTATTTGTGATATTTAATCTCTATGTTTCAAAATTATATGAAAAAGAGCAACTTTTTGTAAGTTATTGCTGATTCAAAAAGATCTGTAGGTATTTGTTATGTAATTGTGTAATTTTATTATTACAGAGCAACCATAGTAGAAGATGGTGGTACTAATTACTGGGTCAGAGAATTGTCACATCCAGTGGAAGATGTTAACTTACCTCCCCTTGATATGAGACCAAATGTAAGTGTACCAAAGATATGAATTAGTTTGTGAAATAAGTAAACCCCAAAAAAAAAAATATTCAGTAAATGCTGTTGAAATGGAGGTTTCTAAGTTTACCTCTATAACCAGGTCTGTTTGTCTATACTTAGTCCCCTCTGTCAGTTTTTTATATGTTTTTTTTATTTTTCAGAAACACCCATTGATACCTGTAATAAACACAGAGGAATGTGGGAGAGTCAAGGGATGTTACAGGGTACCAGAAGGCTGCTGGGAACCATACTGTGATTATATTGCCACCTGGAGGAGAACAGCTGGCAATAATTATGAAATAGAACTTGGAGCGATGACAGATGGTGTGACTGATAGATATGTTGCCATGGCAATATCTGATGACATCAGATGGGTTTGTTTTTCTTGAACTCTAAATTTCAGTAAATATAGCTTTACTATAATATGTCTTTCAGAAATTAAAGAAAAAAAAACATTTGTTGGCATGGTTTCATAAGAATAATGTGTATCATCCATTCTGTCAAGAAAACACGCAAAAAAATGAAAGAAATGATTACAATGTACAAAAAAAACCTCAATGTGCACCCTGATAATTTTTTTCTAGACTGGTTGACATGGAACTTGACATATTGTATAGACACTTGTCTCTTGTTGAAGACAGTTATTGACCTCTAGATATCTTTGGGTTTTTTGTATTGTTGTGTTGCTGTCTCTTAGACGTTTAGCCCACATTTTTTTTTACCTTTTATTCATATGCAATTTATCTTCTAGAAACAGATAGTTCTTTACACATCGATGTTTTCAGTAGTGTTCCACTTTAACCTATATTTTGTGGAATTTCCCTGATAAGGCCACTTTTTTTTATTAGTCGGTTTATGGGATTTTTCTAAAAAAAGGAAGGGTAAGAGGTCGAAAAAAAAATTAAAAATAAATATTAGAATTGATACTTTTTCTCACCCGAGCAAAACCAGGGTGAATACAAGCTTTTGGAATAAACGCAAATAAATTAAATGGAGATTTCAAATAACGACATAATGAGCATGACATGTCAGTGATGTTAAAAGTATTTCTCATATAAATGAGACTGAAGAATCTCACATACAGGAAGTAGCGAGATTTATCTATACCTTCAATAGGTGAAAAAAAAACCTTTTATATGTATTTAATCAGTGTGGGTAGCCATTTGACAGCTTGTAGATTTTAACATGACTACAATGACGTTAAATTCAGCATTCAAGAAGCAGTTCTTCTATTCAAAATTGTGAATGAGCCTTCCTAAGTTATTGACCCCCCCCCCCCAAAGAAATGAAAAATTTTCAAAGTCCAGATCTAAAAAATATTTGGGCAGCATGGCCCCTAGAAATTAACATTGTATATGTTTATAAATATTATATGAGACCAATAAAGTTTGGGCAAAAGAGAGAGAGTATGTACTAAGAAGGAGGACAGTTCTCCTTATCCTAAAAGAACATCTTCTTAGCACAAAAAGATAGTGTAAAAAGTTACAAACTATAATATATATTGAGATGAAATTTACATTTTTGTCTCGGGTTCTAAACATTTGGCAAGTAAAATACTATTTTAGTCAACGAGTGCAAGTTAAATTTGTGTACCTTTCCTTTGGTTGGCTGCTGTAGGATTTCCTCATATTCATTAATAAACTGAATGCATTCAGACCACTACTAGTACCAGGCTTTTCTGTTTCATCTTCCCTTGACACCTCATGAACACTGACGTGCAGAAATTTGTGCCAGAAATTGGCTAGTACTTCACATGGTGTGTCCAAAGGGACAACGCTGGCATCGTCAGTCAATTTGTCTTTCTTGGAAGCTTTCACAGTGTCAATAACAAAAACACTTTCACTAAGACATTCAAGAATAATGTCTTTTACAGTCTGTAATGGTTTTGTGTGGACAAACTGCCCTAAAACATCCCCTTTCGATGGGTTTCTGATCAACACTTGAAAAAAAATTGACCCGCCTTCAACCTCCATTTTCAACTGGTTCCTTTTCACCGCATTAGATCATGATGAAACGTTGACTGAACAGGGAACCGCACGGGATTTTCCAATCCACTCCGAAGGTATTACGACTGGAGGAAGAAAGGCCAATCTTTTTTATTATGTTTTTATTTTTATTTGTACTTCTTCAAACAGAAAAGGGTCGGCGGTATTAAAAAAATCTTCAAAATCAGGAAAAACAGGGTCGGCGGATCTGTAAACCAACAAATAAAAAAAAAGTGGCCTAATGATGATTTGAAATTAAAGTTTTGATATTTTTCAGGGAGATGATGTAGTGTTACAATGTGTACACAATGGAACTTCTAAAGAGACACAAGTGAATGTAGGGAGGAGTGTAGACGATCACAGTACAGTGCTGGAAGAAGTAAGTATTACAGTACAATGCAGATTACCAGCAGATTTTGGAATTGAATGTGAAATATTGTCCTATTTACAATACTACTGTTATTTAGTAGCAGAGATGTTACATTATAACATCATTATTTGTAACACTGTAAAGGTGGGAATTTTCATGAGGGGTGTAATTTTGCTAATTTAATGATTAAGATAAAATCTCAAACATATCCCATGTATATATCTAAAATGGAAATACTTGCTAAAATGTGTACATAATGAAGTATTTAATAGTAAATGATAAGTAAAAGAACTGAAAATTTCTGTTGATTTTTAAAGAAGAGTGCTGATTCATTGTTTTCTCTTATTTTTCAGCAACGTGTACAAGATATAGCTATAATTGGTCCTAAAGACGGTCCTTTAGGTCAGATTTGGGGAAAAAGATTAAGATGTAGATTTACTGTGTCTACTGGAGCCATTCCTGGTTTCCCTGAGGGTTACAAACACATCCTGATGTCCAGAGGTGGAGCTTCTAATGGTATGTTTAATTAGGTAGCACTGGTGTAGGTCATCAACACCATACAATAGAAATTTTATGTGTGGGATATACCTTTTCTTTTCATATGCTTGTTTCTATTCCTCTAGGATTAAGATTAAGCAGTTGACTTTCCTTACCAGAATTTTAATAGCTCTTGTGTTGATACAGAATGTGAAATGTTGCTTTTATTGTTGTAGGTGTCTCTCAGAGACATGGACATGGAGTTGGAGAGATTCCAGTAGCAACACCAGACCAAGTCAGTTTACAAGAGAAACATAACGTTGGAGACTTTGCCAGGTTTTCACTTGTCAAGGCCCATGGTAAGTTGCTTCTTTATTAAAAATAACTAACTATGTCCCTCTTTTTTTTCCATTGATATGAGGTAGATTTAATAAGAGTCTCATTAAGATGAGTGAAAAGACACTATGACAGTCCTTTGATTCTATTCCAACAAAAAAACCAGAATAAACCTTTTTGATGGTTTAAGTTTTTGTCATCATTTTTAATGTTTTGAAGTATAAATGGGTTGACTTTAAGGGATTTTTTGTCTCCATGTATAAATTTTTTATTATGTTGCCACAATCCAGTTTATATCCTTTCCTCATTCATACGAATTCAGGCTTGTATAGTCTGCAGTTTTATTTTCCAAAATTGATTCTGCCAGACAGGGGTGCCGACTATAGAGTATGATAAGCAAGAAATAAGAGAAAAAATTGGATTTCACAAGGTTTGTTAACATTCTGCCATGTTTGTTATTGAAATTGTAGAGGGTTCTCTTATCAGTTTCAAAATTAATAATTTTACCTAATCTATATCAATATGTAATTTTTATTCAATATCAAATATAAACTGATAAATTTCAAAATTAAATGCTTCACTACAAATTTCTCGTTTCTTTTCACTGCATTGCTTAAAATAAACTGGAATCTGCTTGAATGTAACGAAACGAAAAAAGTGTAGAAGTCAGCCGTGTACCAGCTTATGCATAACAATGTATAAACTACAAAACGTAATCGTTCCATTTAGGTGTTTCATACTGACGCATGTGTTTTGTTTTAGCTTAAGACATTAATGTGATAGATATGTTAATCATTATTTTACTTAAGGATGGAACTGTTTTACTTTCAAAGTTGTATTCTAATGATATCTATCTAGTACGGATTTTCTGTACACCCTCACCATATTTATTTTCATTTACACGTGTTATTTGAACTTCCGGTTTAACATACACAAGTTTCAAAATTGTTTTTTTTTTGTGATTTTGACTTATTTTAACACTTGTAAAGTGTTCTTGAATGATTTACAAGCATTTTCAACTCCTTTTTGATGATGGAAAACAGGTTTTTCCATGAATATATCGCAAACGATCACACTATTTGAAATTACCGGAGTTTCATGAGACGTTTTCTAACAGTTACAAAAGTTTTTTACCTGAATTCTCATGGTGAGAAAGGGGTGCGGTGCAGACAATGTACCAGTGCGAACTATACAAGGACGATTACAGCAACTTTTGACAGAAAACACTGCATATTTACATATCAATATCAAACACTACTACAGCAGGAAATACTCCTTCTTCTGGAGCACCAGCCCAATGTTTGCTCCTCCTAGGTCATGTTGCTCAATATTTACCTATGGTGTACTGTTTCATTACTATTATTTTTCTTTGAGTATTTTTTCTTTGAATATGGTGAGTATTGGCTCTTGTTCATTGCACTGATTATTTATATTCTCTTTAAGTATCTTCCTCTTTTGTTATGTTATATTCAAATATTTTGTCAGGTATTTTGATGATTTTGGCCTGGGCTTTCTTTGGAACAACTGGACTGCTATGGACCAAGTACTACAAAACAATGTGGCCTAATAAGAGATTTTATGGAGAAAGATACTGGTTTGTTGTAAGTAATTTTCTTTTTAACTATTTACAATTAAATATCTCTGAAAAAAATCAATCATAATTCAATTAATTGAGATGGCTGGTTTGTGACCTTATAAAACCTTACTTTAAAATGAAATAACTTTTGAAGTGTTAATCTTACACAAATTTGAATCTATGAAAATTGTGATTTTTTGAAAAAAAATTCTTGATAGGAAATAATACTGCTTTAAAATAAATTGTAATTGTAAATTATTTGGTCTTTATTTTAACATAGAATTTCATTTCTTGCAGGCCCATTTCAACTGTATGGTAATGTTAGTCCTACTGGTTGTGATAGCATTCATAATTATATTTGTAGAAGTTGGTGGATATAGTAAGGTAGGGAAAATATTCTCACATACAAATTATCCTTTAGATAACATGTCTTAGTCCTAATTTCACTTTACATTTGCTGTTGTTATAGCCGTCTTTAATGAAGTTAATTTGTTTTAAAATTCACATGTCATTTATTGCTTCTGTGCTGTTCTAAGAATTCATATTTCAGCCATTGTTAAATTGATAAGGTTAGGATTTCAAATATGGAAATGTGCTAAAAGTGGTGTTAAATGCCAACAATCAATCAAATAAGGATAGCAATCCAACCAATTTCAAAATAAGAAGCCCTTAGGGGCATAAATTGCGTTTATCGCTTTTGATCTGGTAGACCAAAGTGAGCTATTTCTTTCACTTGACTTTTATCAAATGTCTTGCACTCTTTGTCAATTACATTTTCAAAAATATTCTTCTATGTAGGAGGTCTACTCACATTCATAATATGAGCATTTAGACTAGTGTATGGATTTGTCCTGTAGAATAGGTCAGCATCCAGACAAAAGTTGATTTTTGTAACCTACTTTATCTACTTCATTCATTCTTGTTAAGTTATATGTCCAAGTTAGGATAATTTTACATAACATGATTATGTTAACCAGTTAATGGATGCATCCTGAAATATAGGTCAGCAACCAGATAGAGTAAACATGTCTTCCATTAGGACTGTAGCATGATAAAAATTGGCCCAGAGTGTTGGACTAGTACAAAGCAGGGTATATATTCATCACATCAACATGTTCTCGTCCTGGATATGCATTTAACTTGCCATTGGATGTGAAACAGCCTTCAATCATCATCATTAATGACTTTTATTAAGTTGATGTCAAAGTTCATATTTCAATGACTATTTTTAAGAGGATAATGTAAACTAGTGTAGGTTTGCATCCTAGAGGGTACGTCAGCATCCAGAAAAAAGAAGGTTACTTTAGTTGTTCTCTTTATAGACTGTGGTTAGGGATGAAAGAAGGTTACTTTAGTTTTTCTCTTCATAGACTTTGGTTAGGGACGAAAGAAGGTTACTTTAGTTTTTCTCTTCATAGACTGTGGTTAGGGACGAAAGAAGGTTACTTTAGTTTTCTCTTCATAGACTTTGGTTAGGGACGAAAGAAGGTTACTTTAGTTTTTCTCTTCATAGACTGTGGTTAGGGACGAAAGAAGGTTACTTTAGTTTTCTCTTCATAGACTTTGGTTAGGGACGAAAGAAGGTTACTTTAGTTTTTCTCTTCATAGACTGTGGTTAGGGACGAAAGAAGGTTACTTCAGTTTTTCTCTTTATAGACTTTGGTTAGGGACGAAAGAAGGTTACTTTAGTTTTCTCTTCATAGACTTTGGTTAGGGACGAAAGAAGGTTACTTTAGTTTTTCTCTTCATAGACCGTGGTTAGGGACAAGAGGGTCTCTTTAGTTGTTCAATCATAGACTTTGGTTAGGGACAAAAGAAGGTTACTTTAGTTTTTCTCTTCATAGACTGTGGTTAGGGACGAAAGAAGGTTACTTCAGTTTTTCTCTTTATAGACTTTGGTTAGGGACGAAAGAAGGTTACTTTAGTTTTTCTCTTCATAGACTGTGGTTAGGGACAAGAGGGTCTCTTTAGTTGTTCAATCATAGACTTTGGTTAGGGACGAAAGAAGGTTACTTTAGTTTTCTCTTTATAGACTTTGGTTAGGGACGAAAGAAGGTTACTTCAGTTTTTCTCTTTATAGACTGTGGTTAGGGATGAAAGAAGGTTACTTCAGTTTTTCTCTTTATAGACTTTGGTAAGGGACAAGAGGGTCTCTTTAGTTGTTCAATCATAGACTTTGGTTAGGGACGAAAGAAGGTTACTTTAGTTTTTCTCTTCATAGACTGTGGTTAGGGACAAGAGGGTCTCTTTAGTTGTTCAATCATAGACTTTGGTTAGGGACGAAAGAAGTTTTCTTTAGTTTTTCTCTTTATAGAATTTGGTTAGGAGCGAAAGAAGTTTTTCTCTTCATAGACTGTGGTTAGGGACGAAAGAAGGTTTCTTTAGTTTTTCTCTTTATAGACTTTGGTTAGGGGCGTAAGAAGGTTATTTTAGTTTTTCTCTTCATTGACTTGGTTTAGGAAATACTATGGTTATTTTAGAAATTAATTACAGTTAAGGAATGATGTTTGGTGACAGAATATTAATTTCACTTTTTATGACAATGAATCATTTATATGAACTATTGAGAAAGAGTCAAATTCAGTAACCATAATTTAGCTATGTTTTTTTCCTGAATGGGGATCAAAGAAATTGTTTTTTTTTCAGTTTTGAGGCTGAAATAGACCTGTCATCATTACTTTATTTCTAATCCAATGAAAAATTGTTGACACATATTTAGATAACATTAAATGATGATTATTTCATGTTAACAGAGTTTACCAAAGGTAATTAAGTAATTCTTTTCTGAAAAATAAAACTGTTTCAGGGTTATCATTATTATAGAATTAAAACTGCTTGTTCAAAAGGGAGTTTAATCTTGAGGTAACACCTTGTGCATGTATATATCATATCTAACTCACTCACACAACATAACAAAGACATTCACAATTTCACTATGTAAGTATCTACACAGATAAATAAATGGAAAAAATGTAATATGGTAATGGTATTATATGTTATGGAAAGATTACATTATGTGATCATCCAGATAAGATTTATCAAAAAGTAAAATAACAAAAATACCGAACTCCAAGGAAAATTCAAAACGGAAAGTCCCTTATTAAATGGCAAAATTAAATTAATACTATTTAAGTTTTTTTGGAAAGAAGACTTAACTGATAACTCAAGTTTAATTGCATGACAACTGGGTATAAAGGTAATAATCTGAATTTCTGAAATATTATTTTACTTGTTACTTTGACAAATACAAAAGTCCTACAATTTCTTTCTTGTTGTATAATGGAGCATTATAGAGCTTTAAAGTTAATTTGTTGGTACATGTTATATATAATCTAACTGGTTACAAGTAGATTATCAATGTGAAATGAACTACATGTATTAGGAAATATGGTGTTCGTGAATAGGGATTACTATCCGGCGGTGGTGTAAACTATTTGTATAAAGCATTGTATTTCAGAAGGTAGAAGACCTGGATACTTCATACCTTGTATGCAGATACCTTAAGTTTATGTCTGTCATATGCCCATTGTCTTTGACCTCATTTTTATGGTTCCGTGACTGCTTGAAAAAAAATTACAGTTTTTTTGTAATGTGAATTTCTCACTTATTATGAGTAATAGGATAACTATTTGGTATATGGGTTCCTTGCAAGGTCTATATGTCCATCAGACAGGGTTCACCTGACCTCGACCTCAATTCATGGATCAGTGATCAAGGTTAAAGTTACATGATTAGCCAGATTAGGTCCATTTCTCAGATACTACAAGCAGTAATTCAACTATATGTAGTGTATGGAATGATTGTAAGGGGTACATGTTAGACTGGCAGTTTAAATCCGACCTTGACCTCATTTTCATGGTTCATTGGTCATTGTTAATTTTTTGTGTTTTGGTATGTTTTGTCAAGTAATATAAGCAATAGGTCAACTATATTTGATGTATGGAATGATTATAAGGCGTATATGTCTGTTAAGCCGGTTTCATCTGACCTTGACCTCATTTTCATGGTTCATTGGTCAATGTTAAGTTTTTGTGTTTTGGTCTGTTTTGCAAGTACTATAAGCAATAGGTCAAGTATATTTGGTTTATGGAATGATTGTAAGGTGTACATGTCTGTTTAGCTGGTGTCACCTGACCTTGACCTCATTTTCATGGTTCATAGGTCAATGCTAAGTTTTTTGTGTTTTAGTCTGTTTTTCATATACTCGTAGCAATTGGTCAACTATATTTGGTGTATGGAATGATTGTAAGGTGTACATCTCTGTCTTGCCAGTATCATCTGACCTTGACCTCATGGATATGGTTCATTGGTTAACGATAAGTTTTTGTGTTTTGGTCTGTTTTACAATTACCATAAGCAATTGGTCAACTATATTTGGTGTATGGAATAATTGTAAGGTGTACATGTCTGTTTGACAGTTTTTATCTGACCTTGACCTCATTGACATGGATCTTTAAGAAAGTTAAGTTTATGTGATATTTGTAGTAAAACCTTTATCTTTAAGACTTTCAACATAAAATCAATGGTCATTAAAACAGGTGAGACATTTCAGCATGTGCACTCTTGTTTTTAACTCAATATTCAACAGAAAAATATAAAGTTTTGCTGTTCAAATAGGAATATGAAACCAAACAAAAATGTTTTCTTCATCAGAATCAGATGGAATCTGTCAATAAAAAGATCTTGAAATAATTTGAAGAATTGGTTCTTGGTTTTTGTGTTTTTATTTAAAAGAGATTTAATCAAAAAGTTCTGACAACTTATTTAGTAAATAATTACACTATCATGTACTTTATATTACAGGCAGATTATCTCCCCTATGAAGCACATCCTATTCTAGGAATCATCATCTTCTGTTGCATACTTCTTAATGTAAGTATTTTTTTTTTTTACAATATCTGTATTGGTGATATTTTATGCTCTATGAATTCAAGAAATGATAAAGTTAGTACTTGCAAAATATTTGACACCATCAAATGAATTTCCATTCATTTCTGATCAAATTAACATAAGTTGCTGTGTGAGATGAAGGTTATGAATTCAATTATGTTTGAAATATTGCCACACATGATATTTAAGTTCTTTGTCTTGCTAGCTAAACTTGCCAAAAAGTATACTGCTAGCTATTTCCATCGCTTGCATCATTGTTTCTTTTTGATAAGGTCACATGAGGCAATTCTTGTTTCTGATTTGTCAACTTTTCTTCTCATCTGAAACAACAAGGCCATCCCCTTTCACATATTAAGTATGATATTATGGAGACCCTTTACAAAGTTTCCTATATTTTATTTTGATCATATGACAAAAGGTTCCAACTGAATTCTATGAGAATCCCATTTATATCTTCATTTGTGAAACTTTTTAGCCAGTCTAGGAATAGTTTGGGCAGAAATAATGTATGGAAGTTCGATATAAACTTCATATTGTACTGATGAAATCAAAAAACCTTAGCTTCAAAGGACAATACTTGATTCCATTTGGTCAATTTTCAAATTTCATCAATAACATTAAAAGGATAAATCTTTCCTAAATTGATAGTATTGATGGTTTTGAGACCACCTTCAAAAATGTTCTTTTTGTGCTGATCAGATGGCATATATGGTGGCAATGAGGTATGGGGTATAAATCAATGAGACAACAATCCAGCAACAAAATATAAAAAAATTTGACATTTACATATGTAAACTTGTCATTTAAATCATTTCTTTAAATAGTTTTAAACAGATGTAATAGTTGAGGGAAGAAATAAAATCTAGACTGATTTTTCCTTTCAGCCAATCATTGCCTTACTAAGACCAGCAGAAGATCACAAGTGTAGACCTGTAGTCAACTGGATCCATTGGTTCTTTGGTACAGTTGGCTGGTGTCTTGCAAGTTAGTAAATTGTTAGGGGTTTAAGTTGTTATTTTATAGAATAAAAGGGAAAAGTCCACAATTTCTTATGTAGAAAGTAGATATAAGAAGATGTGGTATGAGTGCCAATGAGACAACTCTCCATCCAAGTCAAAATTTATAAAAGTAAACCATTATAGGTCAAAGTACGTCTTCAACACGGAGCCTTGGCTCACACCGAACAGTAAGCTATAAAGGGCCCCAAAAATTACTAGTGTAAAACCATTCAAACGGGAAAACCAACGGTCTAATCTATATAAAAAACTAGAAACGAGTAACACTTATGAACTAATCTATATAAAAAACGAGAAACGAGAAAAACACTTATGAACTAAAAGGTCTTTCAAATATAGATTGTTATAATACACAAAAAAGGATAAATATTCTAAGATATGTACTTATAATCAAAACTTTCTGTCTCATGTCATTCAACTTTGTCAGGGAGTTAAAAAATTTATTCTGTTTTAAAAGCATGGTTTTCCAGGAAGTTTTTAATATAATCCTGGGTCGCAGGTTTATTTGAATGTTTATTATTTTTTAGTTCCTAACATGTTTATTGGCATGGATTTCGGCAAGGCTATGGTGCCATGGTGGGCGACATGGATTCTCTGTATCTACATTCTGTACCACATCATTGTAGAGATAACATTAGAGGTCCATCAATGCTGCACTCACAAGAAAAATAAAGGTAAGCTCATGTTTCTAGGTTGTATTATAAAAAACTTATAATATATTTAAAAGTTTAAAAAATATGTATTAGATACAATACAAAGGTAACAAAGAAACAGGCCGGTAACAACCGTTGCCGGATAGTTTGTTTCCGGCCTGTTTTTTGTTACCTTTGTTTTGTATCTGACTTGTACGACGTTTCAAGAAAGAAGTAGTACATTTTGCATGTAGAAGAGTATCAAAATTTAACAGATTCGAAACTTAAATGGCCATATACCAGTTAATGTAAGTTACAGTAAGACAGTTTAAACAAACTTTTTTTTCACTTCCCTTCAGCCTATTTTTTTTTCTAAAGAAATTCAAGAATCTAATAATTTCATAAAAAAAGAACCATGTCAAGTAAAAGATGAATGTCATACACATTTGAGACTTTTAAAAATGCATCTTCGCAAGTAAGTAATTTATGAAAAAGATTTCAGAGGTAAGCAAGCTAACATTTGATTTTTATTTGGGGGAAAACAGAAAGGGGGGCTGGGGGTTAAAATAAATTTAAAATAAACAGGTTTGATTCTTTTTTGTTGAAAACATGCAGGATGTGTCATTCCATTCCCCCATTCCGCCTTAAAAAATAATAAAAATCGTAAGTTTGCTCCCAAATATATAAATGCCTATTTGAACATGTATTACACGGACACTTTTTATTTATAGGATCAATCGTGCATTGGTGAGTTGAAAGGGATTTTATCTTTTGATTAGATTTGATTTTTTTATATATATTTCCTGTCTTTTTTATTGAAATATAAACGTCGGTACCAGCATTTCTTTACTTTCAGCATTGTCCAGAATACTATTCATGTCCATATATTGAAAAAATAAATACATTTACGGACCGACCATTTAGCTTCAAAAGGGGGGTATGTTTTTTTTTCTGAGTAAGAAAATTATTTAGTTTATCAACGCTATCACCCAAATATTTTTTTTAGAAATTAGCACTTTTACATTCGGTATTCGGAAAATCAGGAATCAGAACATTATTTTGTCATCTGATTGACCACAATATATTTTTTTCTCATAAAATTGGGGATTGGAATATTTTTTTTAGGAAAAAACATAACTCCCCTTTTGAAGTTAAATGGTCAATCCCTTAGTGTACTGATATGAATAGTAATAAATACGGGAATTGATTGAAAAAAAATATAGTTATTGATGCCAACGTAAATATTTTAATGAAAAAGACAAGAAATATGTCGGTGAAACAAAAAGTCAAATCTAATTGAAATTTAAAGTGCCCATGAATTCACTGATCATGCACGAGTGATTCTATTCATAAAAAGTGTCCGTGTAACAACTAAAAAGTGTCCGTGTATCATCTAAAAAGTGTCCGTGTAAAACCCGTTAATGTACTGTTTTTCTATAGCTCTGCTGGGGGCAAAGTCGTACAAGTATGATATAATGAGAAAAAGAAAACTTTATTTATTTACTTATTTTTGGGTTATTTCAAGTTAAATGTCCTTTCAAGATTACATTATGTAAAATGATAAATATGATGTGTCTTTTTTAGAGAGAAGGAAGAAGTATGAATTCCAGAAACGTGATAATCCTAAAGTGAGAATTCCTGAACCAGAACCTGCTGTAAGTTATCATTAAACATTTGCCCCTCCCCCTCTTTTGATAGCTAGGGGCATAATTTTTCCTCTGCATTTCTCAGTCTGTTTGTTTATCATCCCACCAAGTATCAAGTTAAAAGTTTTGGTTTAAATTAGATTACGTTGTTGTTTTATCACCACAACTTGAAACTTAGTACACATGTCCATTATGACATGAATTTAAAAAAAATATGCCAAATTAGTTTTATTGCCCTGCCGCTAGGCGAAGGGGACATTAAGTGTTACCCTTGTCCTTCCTTCTGTCCGTCGCGAAATTGGTTTCTGTTCTCTGCCTTTAGTTTGCCTCAACCAAATGTTATTGTCTCGCCTTGACAGAGTCAAAAAGCGAGACATAGGTATGCTGTTTCCGGCGGCGATTGGCCGCGGCGGCTTCATCAACAATCTATTAGTTTGTGATTAGGTCTAGTTTATGGTGAACCACTAGTGGTAGGTCAATGATATGTGGTATGCAGTTGTATTAGCATTGGCACATCTCATTACCATGCAGATTATTTGGCCCTGCCTCCTCAGTCATGGTCTATTGACTTCTAAACTTTGCTTAGTTTACATGTATTAGTTTGTGATTAGGTCAGTTTATGGGGAACCACTAGTGGTAGGTCAGTGATATTTGGTATGCAGTTGTATAAGCATTGGCATATCTCATTTCCATGGAGATTATTTGGCCCCGCCCCCTCAGTCATGGTTTATTGACTTTGAAACTTTTGCTTAGTTTTCATGTGATTAGGTCAGTTTAAGGGGGACCGTTAGTGGTAGGCCAATGGTAATTGGTATGCAGTTGTATAAGCATTAGCACATCTTATTTCCATGGAGAATATTTGGCCCTGCCCCCTCAGTCATGGTCTATTGACTTTGAAACTTTTGCTTAGTTTACATATGTATTAGATTGTGATTAGGTCCGTTTAAGATGAACCACTAAAGTTAAGTCAATGATATTTTGTATGCAAATGTATTGGCATTTGCAAGTTTCATTTCCATGGAGATTATATAAACCCACCCCCTCATTATGGTTCATTGACTTTTAAACTTTTACATAGTTTACAAGTTAATGTTTGTGTTTAGGTTTGTTTAAAGGGAACGACTTATGAAAAGTCAATGGTATTTGGTATGCAGTTGTATTAGCATTGGCACATCTCATTTCCATGGAGATTGTTTAGCCCTGTACCTTCAGTCATGGTTCATTGACTTTGAATATTTGCATAACTTACATGTTAAAGTATTGCTATTTTAATTTCAACATTTGCATTATCAAAATAACAAATAGGCGAGACATATCTCTGTGATAACAGTTTATCAAACTTATACACAATGATTATTATCACGAAACACAGATCAAGTTCGAAATTGGGTGACGTCACTTTTACCGTTCATAAGTTATGCCCCTTTATAAACATAAAAATTGCTGAATTTTTGTTTTCGTTCTCTAACTTAAGTTTGCCTCAACCAAATGTTATGAATCTTATACATAATGCTTATTACCACAAAAACAGATCAAGTTTGAATTCTGGTGGCGTAACTTTTACCGTTCTTGAGTTTTATCCCTTTATAACATTATATGCAAGCAGGGGCATCATGTGTCCCATGGACACATTCCCCATTTATCTAATCCAGATTTTGCAGTTTATTAAACATAGAAATGTGATAATGCGAGCAGGGCATGGTCACATATTCTTTTTATTTGTACTTTGCATGAAACATAGCAGAAATGCTTGGTATGCCTCATGTTTCTACTTGTTTCTAACCCTTATACAAATGAGTTTTATATTCATTGACAATGTATGATACACTTCAAAACAAAAACAAATCATTGATATGGTTAATTGTGAGATAAATATCTTTTAAACAGCAACTCAACAATTCTAATATGAAGTTATTCAAATGCTTTGAGTACACACCCGTGGTAAAATATGAATATATTGTTTGGGCTGTTCCGATCATACTCCCATGTCATATGCTTTTTTATGAATGATCTACCTGATGTCATTGAACGATGACGTAAGAATATAAGCATTTTACGGGAAAATGCACGATTGTGAAACCGAAAGTCATCAAAACAATGAAACATAAACAAACAATGATAAAATGTGTTATAAGCCAATTTTTTTCCATATAAGTAAAATTATCATTTAGATTCATCCAAACCTATCTAAATAAGTTATTGTAAAAAGTTTAAGCATGTCACTAGTTCATTTTACTCAGTTCTTTTACATCAATATAATAGTGTGTTTATTTACGGGAACGGCAAATATTTGCCTTCACCTAGAGCGCTTCGATCCAAAAGAATTGCCATATTTGTCCTATTAGAGTAGAAATAATTCATGGGGCTTGAATTTATACTGATTTTACCACGGGTTTGCCCTTTATGCCAATTTTTACCCCTCACTATCGCTCGTGGTAAAATATTTAGCATAAAGGGCCAATCTGTGGTAAAATCAGTATAAATTCAAGCCCCCATGAATTATTTCTTAATTATAGTTAACATGGAGCCTCGGTGGCTGAGTGGTTTAAGTAGTTCATCTACTGTATCACTAACCTGTCAACACTGAGGTTGCGAGTTAGAACCCCTCACATGACAGGTTCATTTGACTTCAATGTTAAGTGACTAGCATTGGCAGTTTTCCTGTTAAAGGTTGTGGTTCTCTCTGGCTTCCTCCATCTATAAAAACTGGCTGCTACAATATAGCCAATGATATTGAAAGTGGCATTAAACACCAAAAATCAATCAATCAATTAATCTAGTTTACCCAAATAAAACACATGAAGGTTTGATACTTTATTTCGTTAATTTTTTATTTCAGGGTCGAGTATTCAAGAGGAACATGTTATTTGTACATTTTATAATAACATGTATAGTGAACCTGATAATGTTGATAGCCATTGCTGCATCTTAAATCAACAGATTGATAAAGAAAGGGAAATAAACAAGGACAGGTCACTGGACAAAAAAGAAAAAGAATGAAATTTGAAAGAACATTTAATTTTGATCAGTAAAATGATTTGTAATGCAATTTTATGTTATTATAAGCTACTGTGATTCTTCTATTGTAAAAAATAGATATAAATATCTTGTACAATTAGCTTTTTATGCATTAGAAGATAAGGTTCAGCAAATCTGTAAGAAATTGTAAATGATGAGCAAAAAATACTCATATTGTAATCAAATTTATGTTTTGTTAATTGATGTTTTCAAGCAATATTTGCATTGAAAAATAGGGTTTGTTATATCAATATTTAGAATTAATAATTAGGATAAATAGTTAATTATGATATCGTAAAATGATTAAATTTGGTTTTTCTACCATACACTTAAAAGACATTTTGTCTCTAAATGTAAAACATTCCATGGGAAAACTCAGGTCATGATTGAACTGGTCCATGGAACTTTCAGATTGATTTTTTTTAAATTATTTAGAAAATAAAAATTTTATTACTTTCAGAAGTATAGATTTACAAAAAGAAATTAATTTAATATATAAAAAATTTGCACTTATTTTGAACAGTAAATGTTTTAGAATTATTACTTGTCTGCATAGGTTGTTTAGTTTAATTTACAATATATCAGGAATTCCTGTAAAGTATGACTAAATTGACATCTTAATACAGTTTATGTCTTTAATAAATGGTAGTGGAAATATGAAAATATTCCTTATTTTGTACTGGTTACGCAATTAGCCTTTGATGTCATTTATAATGTAATTAAACATACACTTTGTTTATGAGTAGTATTGATACATAGTATGATGAAAAATGAGTGTGTTCAGTGAAAATAATATATAACATGCTGGTAATGTGTTACCTTTCTTCTAGATTCATAGAGAATGGCTTATATTAGCCTTCTTTATGGCATACTTGTGAAATATGTAAGCTTAAATTCAGCACTGGTTGTTCAATTAAAAATTGGCATAAATAAGCACAGCAGACGCTTCAAAAGTGGCCAGTGTTACAATAATTCCATCACAAGTTTATTATGTGTATTGTACACAATAATAATCACTAATTTTTTTTTTCTGAAAAAAAAAATGACTCAAACATATTTTTGTTTACAAAAATAGTATAGGTTAGATCTGAACATATATTTTCTCAGTTCATATTATTTCAATTGTTTAATAAGAAAAGAAGCTCATTATTTGGATTTAAAAAAAAATTCACTCCAAGAGAAATATCTTGATTTCAGTAGGTTTTATATAAATTTTCAAGTAAAATTTAGTTATTTCATTGTTGACATTTTCCCAATCTTGTTTATATAAACACACTGAATGTTGTATGTATTCTTCACAGCTTTATTTATAGATATTTAGATATATATTTCATTATGTGCAATTTTTTGTTAAGATGTTCTATATTAACAGAATCCAATATATTTATGGCAACATATTTTATCTTCTGAATAACCCAGGCCTAATATAGAGAGAAATGTTATAAATGTTTCACTTTCATGCTTGCTTCTCAAAATTGAATTTGAGGAATTTTTATGATAAATTATACACCTTGAATTGTAAGATTAGACCATAATGACATTTTCAGACATTTGCACCTAATTGGCTAAATTTTTCGAAGTCTCACTTAGAAATTGTTTTTTCCATGTTGTCAGTGTTAATAGACAGTACTACCATTCAAAATAGGCGTTTTACATTTTTTTTAAATTTATATTAACATCAAACTTGAATGAAGAATTTGTGTCAATTAAACAAAGAAAATGTTTCCTGGATTATTTAAATTACAGTGAAAAAACTTTTTAAAAACTTTAGATAACCTGCTTTATTCAGAAAGATAAGGATTGTGTTAATGTACATGGGTGAATGTGTGTACAAATGTGTAGATGTTGTGTAATGTTGTATGATAATGTATGGACTGAATTGGATTGTACTGACCACTCCCTGTTATTGGGAAGAATTAGTTTTTAAAAATTAAAGTAAACTGAAATATGCTAAATATATCCAAAATTTATTTGCCATCTTTATTATATAAAAGAAACAGATGCTACTTTATGATACATATTTTAATTTAAGTATGCAAAATATTTTAAAGTGTTATATTATAAGTTATAATGAATTGTTTTGAATCTTTATATGTTTAAGAGTTCCACTGTTTTTTTTCTTTTTTTAATATTTCTGTATTTGAGCTCGGTTAATGGGTCACAGATGTATATTTTGTCTTGAAAAGTATAAATGTATTTTATGTTTACAGTTGCATCGGTGATGAAAATGGACTAAAAAGGGTGTCTTATTTTGATTTACATACATGTTTTTCTATGTTATGACATTAGCTTTTGTGTTTAAATTTGCATATTGATTGAAAGCATGGTCTTGAAAATCCAAAAATTTCATAGTTATTGAATTTCATAAATTTGTTTTGAAAGCATTTGCAATTAGATTCTGTCTGAGTCTTGCCAACTTTCACACTTTATGGGTGATATTCCCACGAGAGGTGTTAACCTGACACTTGAAATACTCAAATACCCGGTATCTAAACTATATACACGAAAAAAGACATTTATTGAAGTTAAAATGCATTTAAGCAAATGTAAACTCATTCAAAACTATAGTATATTAGAATAAATTCATTTATATCATGTATAAGAGATGCTTTATGTCTTCTTTTGTTTAAAATCCACCAGGGAGATTTTGAAAAGTTGACAGGTGTTGATCATCTTTATGCATGTTATTTTATATTAAATATTTTCAATTATTATTCAATACAAGGGTTTAATATTAAAATTGTGATATGTTTTACTTATATTACATATGTATGTTGTAAGGTGTAAGTTTGATGTAGGAATACTTGTGCTTTGGAAGGTTTAATATTGTATATAGCATGCCACAGGAATGTGATAATTGAGTTAGCTTCATTTTGATACTAAATATTTATCTTTATTGAAAGGTTGTTGTATTATTAAACATTTAGGGGATTTTAAAACTGATTTCCAAATAAATAAAAGAATTTAAAAAAAAAAAATTTCAATTTACTTTCAATTAAAAAAATGGTTAAATCATGCAGCTTTACCATTCTTTTTGGTCTTTAGCGAGTTTTTTAGTAGCAAGTGTAATAAATGTTCTAGTCATGCTTCTGCAGAATCTCATAATAAGTCTAACTTGCCTTCTAGCAAAGTTACATTATATATTATCTTTCATTTTATCCTCTCATCATATTAATATATATTTCACATTTCAAAATGAAAATAACAGTTTTCACTAAATTTGAATAAAAAACAAAATTTGACACTAGTATCTTCCTTTTAATGTTAAAATAAATCTGTTACTATTTTTGTAAAAGTTTAAAAGATCTGATATTTTTTGTACTAATTAAAGAAATCTGATAAAGTATTTTACTCTGTTTTTTTTTTTTTTTTTTTTCGCCTTTTGAAGAATTTTGTAGCTTTTCATTTCATAGAAAATTACATATTTTGATAATTTGATCTTCCTAGAAAAACACTGCTTCCATTTTATGAGGTATCTGCCCTTTATTAACGGTTGTATTGATCATTTTCATATGCTTTATATTTGTAATAAATAAATATGTTTTATCAACATTGAATTGTGTTCTTATTGAAATAACTCTTTAACAGCAGTTAATGAGCAAGAAATGTTTAATTAAAGGTATACAATTGAGTATAGAATTTCTTTTCATCAAAAGAGTAATGAACAAATCCATGAAAAAGTCAAAAATTACACTTTTATATGTTGTAAGGGTTTTTGAAACACTTTGACTTCTTGCAACTTAAATATCTGGGTATATAGAAGACTTTCGAATTCGTGCACTTTCCCAGAAATGTCCTGTGTCACAATGCTTATGTTATCACATCACAGTCAGAACCGATTGTTCAGGGACATCATTTATGTTGATTGACCTCGGGTCAACTGGTGTAACTCATTCATAAAAAACAACTCAACATTGGTGTATATTCTCAATTTTATCTGTAAAAAGCTGTGATTCCTAGTCTGCGGACTGTATTTCTCCTGACAATTTTGAGTAGGCAATATCAATATCATGATCTATAGACAACCATGAAAAGTTTTGTACTCTTTTTCTGCCTAGGATTTTTATTTTTTAAGCTCATTTTTACTGTTATTGGCAAAATAAGCCATGTAATTGTTACCTACATTAGTTTGTTTGCCTATTAACATGAAACTATTCCTGATGGACAAAATATAAAAGCTGAATTATCAGGAATACAAAAATGCCTAAATGACTGAAATTATCAGTAGACACCATAGAAGAGCATTAGCTGTGTCAAAGGCATGTCCATTAAACTAACTCAAACTTTCAATTTTCATTAACAGTATACTAAACGGTATACTAAAATTACAAAAGTCACAAAGGAAACAATAAACAAATCATGAAATTATAAAAACATATCAACATTTTGGGACTGGGTGCCATCTAATTAACCATAGACACGACCTCAAATCAAATATAAATAGTTAAATAAAAACGGATAAATATAACAGAGATAAAAAAAACACAATATACATCATTGTTTTACCTTTAACCTGTATAAGAATGCTTGTTGGTCAACATGTCCTTAAGACAGGGTTCATTTAGCCTGACCGCATTTCATTGATTAGCGATAATATTAAATTTTCATGATTAGGTCCTCTTCACAGTTAGTAAACTATATTTGGTGTATGGTATGATTGTAGGGTGAACATGTCCATCTGGCAGTGTTCATATCTTTTTGACCTTATTTTCATTGTTTATTGATCATGTTACGTTTGTGTGATATCTGTAGTTAAACCTTGATCTTATAGGCTTTTAACATAAATTTCAAACATGATTAGTAAAAGAGGCAACATCTCAGCGTGTGCAGTTTTGTTTTAAATATCATCATCCACCAAAATGAATGGATAGAGATACTGTCAGCAAGAAAGGAGTAGACCCCCAAGTAACCCGAAGAAACGGTCCTATAATGGTGTATTTTTTAATCTTCAATTTTTATTATGCCCCCGCCGTAGCGGTGGGGGCATTAAGTTTTACCCTTGTCCGTCTGTACGTATGTACGTACGTTTGACGTACGTCCGTCCGTACGTCCCAAAATTGGTTTCCGTTCTCTAACTTGAGTTTGCCTCAACCAAATGTTATGAAACTTATACACAAGGCTTATTACCTACAAAACACAGATCAAGTATGAATTTTGGTGGCGTCACTTTAACCGTTCTAGAGTTATGCCCCTTTATAAATTGAAAAATTGCAAAATTTTTAGTTTCCGTCCTCTAATTTAAGTTTGCCTCAACCAAATGTTATGAAACTTATACACAATGCTTATTACCACAAAACACAGATCAAGTATGAATTTTGGTGGCGTCACTTTAACCGTTCTAGAGTTATGCCCCTTTATAAATGGAAAAATTGCAAAATTTTTAGTTTCCGTTCTCTAACTTAAGTTTGCCTCAACCAAATGTTATGAAACTTATACACAATGCTTATTACCACAAAACACAGATCAAGTTTGAATTTTGGTGGCGTCACTTTAACCGTTCTAGAGTTATGCCCCTTTATAAATGGAAAAAATTGCAAAATTTATTTTCTTCTAAATATCAAGTTATTTTTAAAATTGGAGTTATCTTCCTTTGTCCATGATTATAGTTGAATCAACTACAATGAATGCTTTATACAATGCAATGTTTAATTTTGACTTCCACTGATAAAACACAGATCAAGTTGAATTTGGGTAGTGTCACTTTAACCATTATTGAGTTATGCCCCTTTATAAATAGAAAAATTGCTGAATTTTTAGTTTCTGTTCTCTACTTAAGTTAGCCTCAACCAAATGTTATGAGACTTACACACAAAACTCAGATCAAGTTCAAATTTGGGTAGCGTCACTTTTACTGTTCTTCAGTTATGTCCCTTTATAACTATATGATATGCAAGCGGGGGCATCATCTGTGTCCACATGTGGACACTATCCACATTTTTTTAATTAAACTTGTGTGTATGTGTTGCTCAAATATTGTTTTGAAAGTGTAATAGGAAAAACTGTATATCTGCTTCATATTTATAAATATATTAGCCTGAAATGGGAATGGATTTCATTTAATCCATTTTCTCCAAATTTGTCACCTTTTTCAACCTTTTTTCATGACTTCACATGTGGCGCCACCCCTCGCCCATTGAATTTTTGGTTTGAAGTGTAAAGAATATGGTATATGAAAATTTTTCAGCAAAAGTATTTGTGGGGAGGGGTGGTACCAAAGTTGATTTTTCAGAAAACTGTCATAAAAAGTAAAATTTTAAAATTTCCTAAATTCCAAGGAAAATTCAAAACAGAATGTCCCTTATCAAATGGCAAAATCAAAAGCTCAAACACATCAAACATTGAATGGAAAATAACTGTCATTTCCTTATATAGAAAATGGTGGATTTAAACATGGTTAAAAAATCAGGTTTAAAGGAAATTCATCTACATTTATGACATCACAAATACATCATACCATGACGGAATTGGTGAAAATCTTTTTTAACTGAAACAATTAGACACTAAAACATATTTTTCATCAAATTTTTATAACATTATTGTAGGTATAAATTTTTCAATTTTTAGGACCAAAATTATTAGTTAGCGAACCAACTCCTTTAATAAACAAGCAGATAGAGAGATCTTCATAACATTTCAATTTTCATTAATTTTTTTGTTGACTGCTTCTAGGAGAGCCATTTGATTTTGGATGAAGGGGCATTGAGTATGTTTAAAACACTTATTATACTTGTTGATGAGCCTGCAAAATTTTGTTGCAGAAGCGAGATATAGCGACCCTACATTCTGTCATTTATTCATCAACAATTAGGTTCAGTCTGTGGTTGAAGTTTTTCTTAAGCATGAATAACTTTGTAAAACCTCCAAGGAATTTTACAAAATTTGTAACAGAAGTTTTATTATAATCAAAAGACAGGATCTTTAATCAACTTCTCCTACATATTTCTACCTAAAGACATAAAACTTTCTAGAATGTTTATATATATGTTCCGGACCATATGAGTATTTGGACCATACGCGTATGGTCATTGACAATATGGGTATACTCATATGGTCCGACCATACGTGTATGGTCGGACCATATGAGTATATACTCGTACCATATGAGTATATACTCGTTTTGTCACGGAATAGAAGTTCCTTCATAATATAAGTTCCAAATGGAAACAATATTCTGGAATATTATTTCCACTGGAATAAATATTACAGTAAATGTTCCTAACGGAATAAATGGTATAGAATATTTGTTCCAACAGGAACAAATATTATGACATTGTTTATAACAAAGTTTCCAGTGGAACTTCTGTTAGGCGGAACAAATATACGTTGACAGTTTGGTTATTAACGGGCCGGACCATTTGAGTATATTGACCATATAGGTATTTTTCGAACAAATTCAAACTTCCTTAACAGATACAGCTCTTTCCCTGAAAAAAAATCAGCACAAGTTATTAATTTACTGAATCTTGGTATATTTGTTGTCTTTTCCTTCGCTATCTAGAGTCATTTTTAACCACCTTTATCCTGTCGACAGTTTCCTCTGTACCTGATACCACATGTGTTTGGGGCATGGACATTTTTTTTCCCCGGCGTTGAGATTAGATTTTTTATACGACCGCAAAAAATTTTTGCCGTCGTATATTGGTATGACGTTGGCTTCGTCGTCGTCATTGTTGTCGTCCGGAGACACATTGGTTTTTAGCACTCTAACTTTAGTTAAAGTGAATGGATCTCTATGAAATTTTACCACAAGGTTCAATACCACAAAAGGAAGGTTGGGATTGATTTTGGGGGTTATGGTACCAACAGTTAAGGAATTAGGGGCCAAAAAGGGGCCAAAAATAAGCATTTTTGTAACTTCCAGGCATAACTTGTGTGTTAGTGTATTGATCTCTCTGACATTGTACCACAAGGTTCCATATCACAAAAGGAATGCTGGGATTGATTTTGGGGGTAATTGCCTCAAAATTTTAGGAATTAGAGGCCACAAAAGGGGCAAAAAACAAGCATTTTTCTAGTTTCAGGACAATAACTTGTGTGTTGGTGTATGGATCTTTCTGAAATTGTACTACAAGGTTCTATATCACAAAGGAAAAGCTGGAATTGAGTTTGGGGGTAATTGCCCAAAACGTTTAGGAATAAGGGGCCAAAAGGGGGCCAAAAATAAGCATTTTTCCAGTTTCCAGACAATAACTTGTGTTCAAGTGTATTGATCTCTCTGAAATTGTACTGCAAGGTACCATACCACAAAGGGAATGCTGGGATTGATTTTGGGGGTTATGGTACCAACAGTTAAGGAATTAGGGGCCAAAAAGGGGCCAAAAATAAGCATTTTTGTAACTTCCAGGCATAACTTGTGTGTTAGTGTATGGATCTCTCTGACATTGTACCACAAGGTTCCATATCACAAAAGGAATGCTGGGATTGATTTTGGGGGTAATTGCCTCAAAATTTTAGGAATTAGAGGCCACAAAAGGGGCAAAAAACAAGCATTTTTCTAGTTTCATGACAATAACTTGTGTGTAAGTGTATGGATCTTTCTGAAATTGTACTACAAGGTTCCATATCACAAAGGGAAAGCCTGAATTGAGTTTTTGGGTAATTGCCCAAAACGTTTAGGAATAAGGGGCCAAAAGGGGGCCAAAAATAAGCATTTTTCTAGTTTCCAGACAATAACTTGTGTTCAAGTGTATGGATCTCTCTGAAATTGTACTGCAAGGTACTATACCACTTAAGGAAAGACTGGGATTGATTTTGGGGGTAATTGCCTCAAAATTTTAGGAATTAGGGGCCAAAAAGGGGCAAAAAACAAGCATTTTTCTAGTTTCAGGACAATAACTTGTGTGTTGGTGTATGGATCTTTCTGAAATTGTACTACAAGGTTCTATATCACAAAGGAAAAGCTGGAATTGAGTTTGGGGGTAATTGCCCAAAACGTTTAGGAATAAGGGGCCAAAAGGGGGCCAAAAATAAGCATTTTTCCAGTTTCCAGACAATAACTTGTGTTCAAGTGTATGGATCTCTCTGAAATTGTACTGCAAGGTACCATACCACAAAGGGAATGCTGGGATTGATTTTTGGGGTAATTGCCTCAAAATTTTAAGAATTAGGGGCAAAAAAGGGGCAAAAAAACAAGCATTTTTCTAGTTTCAGGACAATAACTTGTGTGTAAGTGTATGGATCTTTATGAAATTGTACAACAAGGTTCCATATCACAAAGGGAAAATTGGGTTTGAGTTTGGGGGTAATTGTCCTAAATGTTTAGGAATTTGGGTCCAAAAAGGGGCAAAAAAACAAGCATTTTTCTAGTTTCCAGACAATAACTTGTGTTCAAGTGTACAGATCTCTCTGAAATTGTACTTCAAGGAACCATACATTGTAACACAAAGGGAAGGCTGGGATTGAGTTTGGGGGTGATGAATCATAAGGGGGTTCAAAAAATTTGAGGGGGGATTTTTTTTTTCCTTTTTTTTCTTTAAAATTTTCCATTTTAAATTGGTTATTTCTGATTTATATATAAAAGCAAATAATAATGATATGGTTTGAATAGGTAAATTAAAAAATGTTTAAGTTCTTAGACCACATTCATTCTGTGTCAGAAACCTATTCTGTGTCAAATATTTAATCACAATCCAAATTCAGTGCTGTATCAAGCTTGAATGTTGTGTCCATACTTGCCCCAACAGTTCAGGGTTCGACCTCTGCGGTCGTATCAAGCTGCGCCCAGCGGAGCATTTTATTATTTTATGTTATTCAACACTAAAGTTGTTTCAGATAATCCAAGTTAAATCAAACTTGCATTACTTGGAGCTTCAATTCAATAAATGAAAACATCATTCAGAAACTTACCTCAAACCCCTACACTACATAATCTTAACAGTTAATTAGATTTAAACTTGGTATTAGATAAGATAAGAATTTTATTAATCTAATCAAGAACCCATAAAGGGCATCATTTACAACAATATTAAGCACAATATGATTGGAAAAAAGAAAAACTAGATCCTAATATAACAAGAGTGCACACACTGAAATGTCTCGCCTTCTTTACTAATCATTGATATTATGTTGATAGTCCTAAATATAAAGCTTTATTAAAACTGTCACATAAACTTAACATTAACCAAGAAAACTAAACATTGACCAATGAACCATGAAAATGAGGTCAATGTCAGATGAACCATCATCATCCAGGCAGGCATGTACAGCTAACAATTCTTCCATACAACAAATATAGTTGACCTATTGCTTATAGTTTAAGAAAAACAGACCAAACACAAAAACTTAACACTGAGCAATGAACTGTGAAAATGAGGTCAAGGTCAAATAAAACCTGCGCGACTGACATATAGATCATAAAATATTTCCATACACCAAATATAGTTGACCTATTGCATATAGTATTAGAAAAAAAAGACCAAAACTCAAAATCTTAACTTTGACCACTGAACCATGGAAATGAGGTCAAGGTCAAATGACACCTGCCAGCTAGACATGTACACCTTACAATCATTCCATACACCAAATATAGTAGACCTATTGCATACAGTATAAGAAAAACAAACCAAAACCCAAAAACTTAACTATAACCACTGAACCATGAAAATGAGGTCAAGGTCAGATGACACCTGCCAGTTGGACATGTACACCTTACAGTCCTTCCATACACCGAATATACTTGACCTATTGCTTAAAGTATTTGAGATATGGACTTGACCACCAAAACTTAACCTTGTTCACTGATCCATGAAATGAGGTCGAGGTCAAGTGAAAACTGTCTGACGGGCATGAGGACCTTACAAGGTACGCACATACCAAATATAGTTATCCTACTACTTATAATAAGAGAGAATTTAACATTACAAAAAACTTTAACTTTTTTTTCAAGTAGTCACTGAACCATGAAAATGAGGTCAAGGACATTGGGCATGTGACTGACGGGAACTTCGTAACATGAGGCATCCATATACAAAGTCTGACGCATCCAGGTCTTCCACCTTCTAAAATATAAAGCTTTTAAGAAGTTAGCTAACGCCGCCGCCGCCGGATCACTATCCCTATGTCGAGCTTTCTGCGACAAAAGTCGAAGGCTCGACAATACTATCATGTTATGGACAGGATCAGAGCCTGACACATCATGTGTCTTAAATAACTATTACAATAATTTCATAATAATTAAATATTGTTTTATATATTTTGTATCCACCTGGATCTTATTTCTAAACACTTAATAATATAATTGCCTAGGCACATAAGAGTTGGTAAATGCTCATTTGTGAACAGCCAAAAATATTTTTTATCAAAAACTGTTTACTTTATACCATAATAATTTTCTCTGTTCGTTATATAAAGGACAACTTATTGTAAAATGGGTCTCATCTTCAATAGAATTTGATCAAATATGTCACAGGTATACAATTGACATTGTTGTGGGGTTGTCTATTATTTTCTTCTTTTTTTCCATTTTATTATGGTTTTAGGGTTGTTTTTTTTTTTTTTTTTTTTTTTTTTGCTCTTGTTTTTTATTTTATTTAAATTTTTTATATACATACCAATGTACATATGAATTAATTTTTGGAGGGAAAACTTATTTCCCTTGTTCTGTGGATTATTCTATTCAGAGGGATATACTTAGTTGATGAAATCATTATATTATTAACTTGGCTTATTTAAAACAGCAAAACGCACAGCTACAGATTTGGTTGAATGAATATTGTTGTATATCTAAATACTTATTATTAAAAGAATAAAATGAAATACTGTCCATTTTCAACGTTTTTAACAATTATACCCTACTGTAATAATGGACGAAGCTATCAATAACAATTTCCGGCAGAAGCATAGGTTGTTAAGAATGTAGTGATGTCTCATGATCATACGGTCAGAATGTCCGATTTAATTGTAAATTGAAGGTTATATGAAATTCAAGCCATGATAATTAAGTAAAGAAATTATTCAGGGAAAAAATATGGCTAAAAGTTTTGAAGGGACATTGCTATGTGTATATTTTATTACCTTGTTTACATTTTATGAATGTGAAATTCATGAGGCTTTCTTCTCAGGTAAGAACATAAATTGGTGTTACTGGTTACATTATTTGCACACTTACAAAAAAAACAAGTTTGTTAGTCATTTTTTAATGTAATACACATATTCTACAGCCTTAGCTCTTACCACAGTTGCTTTAATAATCATTTAAATGTTCAGTGGCAAATATTTCATGTAAATGAATGTTTGTCACTCAGTGTTAAAAGTGTTGGAAAGACTCCAGTGTCATTGGCCCTTAAATCATGGAAACCTTAAATAAGGGAAACTGTTTGTGTAATTTTAAAGTCGCTGTATCTTGAAACTGTTTCCAGAGTAAAGGTAGGTTTTTTATTCCAGATTTTGAGTGTTGTCCCCAAAATGTTGAGAGTATGGATAAAATGAATCCAGGTCCGTTCACTCTAATACCTGTTCGCCCAGGGTCCATTCGCCCTGATTTTTATTTTTTTTATTATTGTTGTCTAGTTGCATAATGTTTATTATTTGAACAGAGTATGTTAAAGTTTGTTGAAAAGTTCGCCGAATATTTGTATTGCTGCAACCAAATAATTACTTTCCTTTGATTTGCATAGTAGAATACTGGAATACAATGTATTTATCTTTATTGATATTTGTGAACGATTTTAATCATTCTAGTCAGTCAATTTATGCAGTATAATAATAAATGAATTTATAAATCCCTTTCGTGTTTTACAATTCGTACATCATTGTTTTTACTCATTCCAAGCTGACTAGATTATCAAAATAAAATGTCGTTTTTATAATTAATCCATCAAAGAAAATTATTACAACAATCAGTGAGAATTATTATTATGAACAATTAATGCTCCAAAACACGCCATCAGTTTTAAATATTTCCATGTGTTTTCATGAATTTCAAGAATTTATACCATATAAATATCTGAATAAGTTTATTAAACTTTAATATCCTTAATATTAATATTTTTTAATAAAAGTAGGGAGAACAAACCAAGGCGAATGGACTCTATGGGCAAACGGACCCGATACTGGATAAAATGTCTTCAGATTTCCTACAATATTTTTTTTTCTCTTTTTAAACTTTCGAAATATTTAGATCAATTGATCTCAGGATTAAGATAATTATATATGTATTTACATTGATGTGTTATCATTTATAAGCAAAAAGTTCAGATTTTGGCAATTAAACCAGAAAAAAAACAAAATGGTACAATCATACAAAAGCAGTGATAGGTATCAGTTTGATGACAGAAAAATAGACGCAATTAAGGTTTCATTTAAATCCATAACTACAAAACATCTTCTCAAAGTATTTACTGCATGTGGAAAATTTGAGATACATGTAATGACACTTTTCCTGTTTTATCAAAACTAATTACTCTTTGTCATGTTTGTTGAACAAAAAGATAAAATATTTATTTATTCCATGTACCGGTAAATCAGATGTTATCATCTCATCTCCAGGGCTGACTCCCCTCAGATATGAGAAGCTTACATCTAATACATTTATAATGATAAACCATTACAGAAAGAACTTCTTGAAGCAATCAGTATGCTTGCAAAAAAAACCCATCACATTTAAATTTAAATATACATGAATTTATCACAGACATCTGAATACACCTTTTATTAAATATTTAAAGATGGTCTTTTAATTTTATATTAACAGGAGATTGTAAAAAAGCAACAACATTCTGTAAACATGAATGCATAAACATAGACAAAGGCTTCATCTGTAAATGTCATTCAGGTTATCAACTACAAAAGGATGGCCAGTCTTGTGAAAGTAAGTTTTCAGTGTGGCAAGTTGTAAAACCTATCTGCTTTATAAATTATAGGATATTGTTTTTATAATTGATAGACTTGTTACAATGTTTAAAATTGAGAATGGAAACGGGGAGTGCGTCAAAGAGACAACAACCCGTCCAAAGAGAAGAAACAGCCCAAGGCCACCAATGGGTCTTCAACACAGTGAGAAAATCCCGCAGCCAGAGGTGGGCTTCAGCTGGCCCCTGAACAATAATGTATACCAGTTCAGCTAATGTATATTTATTGAAATCAAAATTAATATTGCAAAATGTTTTCTTAATTGTTAAAAAGTAGGAATAAAAATATATTGATTCACTCCTATGGAAATTTCTGTTTTTCAAGCAATACCAAATTTTAACATTTATAGTGATATTGAGTTAATGCCTATGAAATTATTTCAGTCTTGGACATTTCAGAATATTATATTCAGTGAATATTTTAAGGTTGTTATGAAATCTAATTCACATTATATTCATCTTAGATGTACGCAAGTTAGACTTATGGCCAATATTTCTAATACAATCTCAGTATTTTAGCAACAGATTTTTTTACAGAAAAGCTGGCTGTTGTCATGCCAGAAACAACCATCCAGGGGTTCAAATTAACATTTTTCACTGTAAAGTCCTGGACCTTTACAACAGTTAAGTGAAAGGTCCACACCTTAGGATGAAAGGTCCAAACATTGACTTTTGATTGGATCAGTTTTAAGATATTGTGTTCCTCTCACTAAAGCACTATGCCTATCAGAGTGGGTTTAGTATTTTATACAATATTTGCAGGTCATGGTTCTGGAAGCTTCTCCAAATTGGAACCAAGGGCGATCTTTCTGCCAATGAGATTGGAATTTTCGCTCACCTTTCTTTAATCATATCTTTTATCCTTGTTTAAACTTTCATCGCTTCTTTGTCGGACTTCTTTTGTTTAGCTACACCTGAAGTAGTAAGAATTTCAACTGCCTCGCCCATTTTTCTCTTAGAAGACGTGACGCCAAAGCGAAACAAACGTTAATATGACGAATGCGGACCTCAACGATAGCACCCATAAAAATTGTCATCTGACACGCTGTACTATTAAGGAACCAGGAAGTAGATCACTAAGTTAAAAATAAAATTTAGCACAAAGCTAATTTATCGTGACTCATTACCACATCAGTTTACAAGTTACATTTGTATAACAAAGTGTTTCATATAGAAATTCATCATATATGTTTTCTGAAACTTGAAAATCGAAAGTCCGTCCGGTGCAGCTAATTACCAAATCGGAAGTCTGACTGTAAATCTGATAGGTCCCAGACCTCGGACCACCGCAAATTTGAACCCCTGCCATCTCTGAAGAATTCAGATAAAGTTGTAGTCTTGAACAATGAATTAACACATATTTGTGGGATTTGCACAGCATCTTTCCTGAACCAAATTATTATTTGAAGATATAATAAGATAAATGTACTCTCAATTGATATAACCAAGTCTAAATTGAAAACAACGTTCAAACCTATGATTGTGTTGGATAAAAGTCGCAATTTTTATACGTGTGCGTGCAAAACAAATTTCTTGATAGAGGGGTCTAAATAAAGCACAAACAACATTTTCCAAGAGACCAAAAAGTGAGAAAGTATATTTTAAGAAAACGCATTTGACTAGCAGGTCTAACAACCGATGTTCTTAAAGCCTGCTGACTGCCATGGCGATTGCCAAATAAACGGATCACCAGATGTAACAAAATGGATCTTAATATTTAATTTAATACCAAACAGAAAACAATAAACTTGCGGAAAAGATGGTATACCGCAAACATCAGGTGCAAAAATTTGTACACCATATCCGATTTTCGACAATTAATGTCTCTTCAGTGATGTTAGGAATCGAAACGGTATTTGGAAGGCCATATAATCAATTGATATATAGATAGACCATGTTTATTTTTAAACCTTTGATTAGAATCTTCTGCTGTCCATTCTATAAAACAATGTCTGTTGCCACAGTTTTCATATTTCACTAATAGATATATTTTCTACTTTAAATACCTGCTCTTATTTTTACATTTCTGTTAAAATTATAAACCAATGAATCAATGCTGAGCTACTGAGAAGCAGGAAATTAAATTGTTATGGCCTTATACTTGTAAATTAGATTATTGCCCAGCATTCACTAGAAACTCTGTTTGGAAATTATGACCTTTCAGACTCATTATTTAATTATTTCAGACATATTGAGGTAAATAATTAATGAAGTTTGAGTTATCTCACCAATAAAGTCTTGATTATTGGAAATGTATTTATCTTAGATTGAAATATGACCAAGTCAGCCATACTTTTGTTAGTTTTGGAATAGAATGATACATTTAATTCTTTTTTTCTCAAAAACTTTCTAATGGCGAAAAAAGGTGGCCAAAGTTTGGTTGATTTTAATATAAATGCCTTTATAAAATTTTACAAAAGCAAATCATTGTCATGTAGATCAAAAGTTGAAAATTCTGAACTGAAACACTTTAAAATGCTTGTGTTTATTTCTATTTACATTATAGTAATTTATTTTTGTTAAAATTAAGATTAAAACATATAGTTACCAAATTCAAAAGTAATTGCTTCAGTGTTGTATTTGCAGAAATGAGTCTGATTTGTGGGCATGTAGAGAAAATGATTCTTTAAACTTTTGAACAGGACATGGTTGGTACCTTTGTGATGGGGTAACCCCTGTTCTCCATAAGAACACTTTCTGTGTACAAATGTATGAAAGCCATCTCTGACTTAAACCTTGAACATGGGAGGGAAATTTCTTTTTAGGACATACATTTGTAGCCAAAGATAGTATTTATTGCTTCATTAATTATAGATTATCCAAGAATTTGAAAGCCTGACTACTATAAATAATTTCTTGCATAGTGCAGACATTTTTTTTCTGAAAAACTGTCTGGTGAGCTTAAACATTCTGACCCAAAACACCATCTAATAAAATCTTATGTTGGAAATGTACAATGGCATTATGTAATAAAGATCTTACGAATATTGAAATCCACTCACAGGTTAAGCAGGAGACCATAAGGTACAAGATGCCCGACCTATATGTATATTGATATCACAAAGTCCATGTTATTTTGATCTGACAAGAAATAAGATAGAGATCTGATGAAAATTGTCAGTAGATACTTCAGATTTTTATTTGCGGTCGTAAATTGGTATGACGGCGTCGTCGTCGTCGCCTGAAGACACATTGGTTTTCGCACTCTAACTTTAGTTTAAGTGAATGGATCTCTATGAAATTTTACCACAAGGTTCAATACCACAAAAGGAAGGTTGGGATTGATTTTGGGGGTATGGTACCAACAGTGGGAATTAGGGGCCAAAAAGGGGCCAAAAATAAGCATTTTTGTAACTTCCAGACATAACGTGTGTGTTAGTGTATGGATCTCTCTGACATTGTACCACAAGGTTCCATATCACACAGGGAATGCTGGGATTGATTTTGGGGGTAATTGCCTCAAAATATTAGGAATTAGGGGCCAAAAAAGGGGCAAAAAACAAGCATTTTTCTAGTTTCATGACAATAACTTGTGTGTAAGTGTATGGATCTTTCTGAAATTGTACTACAAGGTTCCATATCACAAAGGGAAAGCTGGAATTGAGTTTTGGGGTAATTGCCCAAAACGTTTAGGAAAAAGGGGCCAAAAATAAGCATTTTTCTAGTTTCCAGACAATAACTTTTGTTCAAGTGTATGGATCTCTCTGAAATTGTACCACAAGGTTCCATATCACACAGGGAATGCTGGGATTGATTTTTGGGGTAATTGCCTCAAAATATTAGGAATTGGGGGCCAAAAAAGGGTAAAAAAACAAGCATTTTTCTAGTTTCATGACAATAACTTGTGTGTAAGTGTATGGATCTTTCTGAAATTGTACTACAAGGTTCCATATCACAAAGGGAAAGCTGGGTTTGAGTTTGGGGGTAATTGCCCTAAACGTTTAGGAATTTGGGACCAAAAAGGGACCAAAAAACAAGCATTTTTCTAGTTTCCAGACAATAACTTATGTTCAAGTGTATGGATCTCTCTGAAATTGTACTGCAGGTACCATACCACAAAGGGAAGGCTGGGATTGAGTTTGGGGGTGATGAATCATAAGGGGGTTTAAAAATTTTGGGGGTGGGTTTTTTTTTTTCTTTAAAATTTTCCATTTTAAATTGGTTATTTCTGATTTATATATAAAAGCAAATAATAATGATATGGTTTGAATAGGTAAATTAAAAATTTTTAAGTTCTTAGACCACATTCATTCTGTGTCAGAAACCTGTGCTGTGTCAAATATTTAATCACAATCCAAATTCAGTGCTGTATCAAGCTTGAATGTTGTGTCCATACTTGCCCCAACTGTTCAGGGTTCGACCTCTGCGGTCGTATCAAGCTGCACCCAGCGGAGCATTTTATTAGTATCTGGTATTGCAGATGATATTCTTATTCATTATCAGTGTTTTCTGATTAAGTAAGCTTCTATAATGATAGATAAAACTAAAAAATTGTCTAAGTATGTAAATCAAAGAATGATTTCTTAAAGAGTAAATATACATGTGTTGTGATACTATAGAAATTAAAGGATTTTTCTCTGACAAAAACTTCCATTAAGCTTTACTTTTACAGCAGAGGAAACTAAATTGGCAATTACATGAGGCTATCATTGAAAGGATCATTGGTGGAAACATTCCTTCCTTTAACATGTAAAATTATGCATCACATTTCATCATGATTTCTAAATTTTTTATGAAAGGTAAAATTTGTTTAAAACAGTGGTTGACATTTACAGAATCATTGGTTATTTGTGATATTTATGATAATGCAATAATTGCATGATGAACCTCGTGTTTTAATCAATTGAATACCAAGTTATGATGTATTGTAAGAAACCAAACATGCTCGTTTGAAAGGAACACTAACCAAGAAATCAATATCATCTTAAGAATCAGTAGAAAAGATTTTTCTATTAATTTTAGACAAATTGTTTGTAATTCCATGACAGATGGTCAAAGTATTAGTTTTTATAGCCTAGGGATTTCTTTGCTGGTGTAATGATAAAAAAAGCCAACAGGCGATAATTTTATCAATATTTATTTTATAATTAGAAGGACATTTTCATCAATTTTCTACTTTTATTGAATAAATACATAAAACGAGCTGAAATGAAAAAGTCTTTAAGGTACAATAATTATATCAAATAAAACAGATTTTTTTTGTTTTTTTGTTTTTTTTTTGGGGGGGGGGGGGGGGGTGGGGTGATTGTCTAGATATTGAGTGATATAGAATCAATTAAAAATTTCTGTGTATTTGGTGTTCTGAGACATGGCGAAGAATACAGGCTTATTAAAGGGATGAGTTGATGCAAATATTTTTTTTTTTGTTCCTAGTTATTTGTAAATACCAGAAATATATATATAGACTGTAGCTATAGAATGATTTAAATTCTGGATAAAATATGTCAATGAAATTTTACCCAACATTACTTTTTAGTGGAGAAAATAGGGAACACATTTTGCATTCAAAAGATTACTGTTTACTTAAAGAAGTATGTTACTGTTCTCAGAATAAAAATAAAGGCATAAAAAACTTATAAGATTTTACAAACGTCCAAGTATTGATTTTCACTGTGGTACTAATTGAATTTAAGAAGGCTGTTTGAAGAAGAAGAGAAAATAAAATCATATACTATGTTGATACTTTATTCCTTTGTGCAGAACCCAAATTTGAATAAGAGATATTGTAATTTACATACCATATTCATTAACTTTTGCTTAAATTTCAGGATATGAGTTAATGTTGTTATGGGGTATTATGTATTTATTAACTGTCATATTTAACATTTTTGGTGATGTATTTTATTTATCAACTCCTGACATTCCTTATCTCTTTTCAGGAAATTATTTGGTCCTAATAAGATCAATGTGCATTTTATATTTATAAGTACAATGTATAATGGTCTCAATGGACATTGTAACTAATAACTTTGTTAATGTCTTTACATGAATATCAGGTTACATTTAAAGTAGAAGTACAATGTATAATAGTCTCAATTGAGATTGTAACTAATAACTTTGTTAATGTCTTTACATGAATATCAGGTTACATTTAAATTTGAAGTACAATGTATAATGGTCTCAATGGACATTGTAACTAATAACTTTGTCAATGTCTTTACATGAATATCAGGTTACATTTAAAGTAGAAGTACAATGTAATAGTCTCAATTGAGATTGTAACTAATAACTTTGTCAATGTCTTTACATGAATATCAGGTTAGATTTAAAGTAGAAGTACAATGTATAATGGTCTCAATTGACATTGTAACTCATAACTTTGTTAATGTCTTTACATGAATATCAGGTTAGATTTAAAGTAGAAGTACAATGTAATAGTCTCAATTGACATTGTAACTAATAACTTTGTTAATATCTTTACATGATTTCAGGTTACAAATAAATTAGAAGTACAATGTAATAGTCTCAATTGACATTGTCACTAATAACTTTCTTAACATCTTTACATGAATTCTGGTTACAAGTAGATTAGAAGTACAATGTAATAGTCTCAATTGACATTATTACAAATAACTTTGTTAATGTCTTTACATGAATATCAGGTTACATTTAAAGTAGATGTACAATGTATAATGGTCTCAATTGAGATTGTAACTAATAACTTTGTTAATGTCTTTACATGAATATCAGGTTACATTTAAAGTAGAAGTACAATGTAATAGTCTCAATTGAGATTGTAACTAATAACTTTGTCAATGTCTTTACATGAATATCAGGTTACATTTAAAGTAGAAGTACGATGTATAATGGTCTCAATTGGCATTGTAACTAATAACTTTGTTAATGTCTTTACATGAATATCAGGTTACATTTAAAGTAGAAGTACAATGTATAATGGTCTCAATTGAGATTGTAACTAATAACTTTGTCAATGTCTTTACATGAATATCAGGTTACATTTAAAGTAGAAGTACAATGTATAATGGTCTCAATTGACATTGTAACTAATAACTTTGTTAATATCTTTACATGAATTCCGGTTACAAGTAGATTAGTAGTACAATGTAATAGTCTCAGTTGACATTGTTACAAATAACTTTGTTAATGTCTTTACATGAATTTCAGGTTACAATTACATTTTGAAAAATGTAATGGCTCAGTGGACATTTTAACTAACAACTTTGTTAATGTCTTTACATGAATCATGAATTTCAGGTTACAAGAAAATTAGAAGTACATGTACAATGTATAATGGTCTCAATGGACATTGTAACTAATGACTTTGTTAATGTCTTTACATGAATTTCAGGTTACAAGTAGATTAGAAGTACAATGTATAATGGTCACATTTGACATTGTAACTAACAACTTCATTAATGTCTTTACAGAAATTTCTAAATACAATTAATTTGGAAGTACAATGAAATGGTGTCAGTGGACATTCTAACACATGGTTTTCTTAATCTGTTTTCAGGAATTTCTGGTTATGAGTTCATTGGCTCTAATGGCATCAGTGTAGATACTCATCACCTTTCATCTGTACAAAGCATTCCCTCATCTCAACAACATAACTTGGTACATTCTGAAGCAAATAATCAAATAAGTTATAAGAAATTAACATTAAAAACTGAAAATCATAATGTGATATTAGGCAATAAAGTTGATACTTTTACTCCTGTAAAAGACAATGTTGTGTTGGGAGCAAATAGTCATCTGGCTCCTGTGGCCATAATGCGACCTCCAATGTGTGATGAGATAATATGTCAAAATGGTGGCCATTGTGTGGTCAGAGGTCGAGCAGCTAAATGTGATTGTTCACTTGGTTTTGGTGGCAGATATTGTGAAAAGAGTAAGTAAACTTTTTTTCTGGAAGGTTATAAGTTCTGCTTTGTTTAAATTGTCCAGTTTTTTTAGCATTGTTGGTAGCTTAAAGTCCAGTGGCAAATATTTCATGTATGTTCAAGACAAGAACAATATGAACAATAAATACAATAGGTAGGTCATGTAATAGCAGCTGTCTGGGATGAAGACTGGGGAAATTTGGACTGCCACTGGAAAATGAAGGACCTCAAAGAGTTGTTGCATCGGTTCTTAATGTGCAGAGCGTGGCACTCTCTCTACACAAGCGTCCCCATTTTGACTGGACATGGCTGCAGACTTGGCTGTTCCGTACAGCCAAACAGACACCCCACTTTAGCAAGGGTTTTACTGCCAGTCAATAGAAGACCAAAGTGACTGTATTATTATTCCCCAGTCACCCTTGGGGAATTGACCATTGAAGTTAAGATGATATATTTATAAGATGAATAAGCTAATATTGTATGTGTTTGCAATTATTTTAGTTTGTCCTTTCAATCATTTAAAAAAGATCATACTCAGTATGTTGGTCAAGTACAAAAAATTGTATACAAAACTCATTGGACATCAACATATGATTTCCTGAATATTATTACACTAGATGTTTACACCAACCTATCAATCAATTCTCAAACACATTAAAACAATGAACAATTCTTATTATGTTTGTTTTGATCATACAGTACCAGTAGAAGCCAAGAATTGACATTTCATTTGAAAAAAGTACCTCTGATTTCAATAGAAATGGAGGTATATTGTTGAAGAATGAATATGCATATTAAAAGTAATTTATTTTTTTGGACATTAGCATTAAAATTGTTTTTACACAGGTTTTGAAAATTGGCAGACTTCCTCAATTTCTGACTCATTTGTAATATAGATTAACAAAATTCTTTGTTGCTGGAACAGATGAAATAAATCCAGAGAGTATTGCAAATGTCATTTAAGTAATTATCTTGCTTTTTAGTCGTGTGACATAAATTAGGAGAAAAGTATAAAGTATTTACACCATTATTGTCACTTATTTAACATTATGATATACCATCCTTGTTTTATAAATTCGGTTACCAAATTACATAAAAGATTGTGTTAACATTTTTCGAATATCATATTTTGATCAAGCACATGAACCAGATTTCAGTCATATGATAAATGTGATAAATTCATTTACTATTATGTTTGGTGAATTTTCAAAAAAAGCAGATACTTACTTCTAAAAATAAGCATAACAGAAATGATTTGTTTTTCTTAAAAAGTGTTATGTCAAAAAATGACAAAAAATTTGAATGACCCAATAGATTAAAAATATTCAGGGTCATATTGCAGTGTTTAGAGTGGGCCGTCATTTCCAAAAGTGTGTATGGAATGAAGCGAGGCTGATGTCCTAATAGTTTTTGAAAGATGGCTAATTTAATTTTAAATTATAGTTATGTTGCATCAATGTGTATTCAGTTTGTACCAAAACATTAAACACTTTAGAAAGAAGAACATTCCTATTCTTGAACACATTTTCTAAGAATCTAATACTGTTTATTAGCTCACCTGGCCTGAAGGGCCAAGTGAGCTTTTCTCATCACTTGTCGTCCGTCGTCGTCGTCGTTAGCTTTTTACAAAAATCTTCTCCTCTGAAACCACTGGGCCAAATTTAACCAAACTTGGCCACAATCATCATTAGGGTATTTTGTTTAAAAAATGTGTCCAATGACCCCGCCAACCAACCAAGATGGCCGCCATGGCTAAAAATAGAACATAGGGGTAAAATGTAGATTTTGACTTATATCTCTGAAACCAAAGCATTTAGAGTTAATCTGACAAGGGTAAAACTGATTATCAGGTCAAGATCTATCTGCCTTGACATTTTCAGACAAATCTGACAACCTGTTGTTGGGTTGCTGCCCCTGAATTAGATATTTTAAGGAAATTTTGCAGTTTTTTGTTATTATCTTGAATATTATTATAGATAGAGATAAACTGTAAACAGCAATAATGTTCAGCAAAGTAAGATCTACAAATAAGTTGTCATGACCAAAATTGTCAGTCGACCCCTTTAGGAGTTATTGCCCTTAATAGTCAATTTTTAACAGTTTTTTGTAAATTTTTGTAATCTTTTACAAAAATCTTCTTCTCTGAAACTACTGAGACAAATTTAACCATACTTGGCCATAATCATTATTAGGGTATCTAGTTTGAAAAATTTGTCCGATGACCCCGCCTTCCAACCATCATGGCCGACTTGGTTAAAAATAGAACATAGGGGTAAAATGCAGTTTTTGGTTTATATCTCTGAAACTAAAGCATTTAGAGCAAATCTGACATGTGGCAAAAATGTTCATCAGATTTAGATTTATCTGCCCTGAAATTTTCAGACGAATATGACAACCCGTTGTTGGGTTGCTGCCCCTGAGTTAGTAATTTTACAAAAATTTTGCCTTTTTTTTTTATTATCTTAGATATCATTATAATATCTAATATCTAATACTATTAATTATGATTTTAACCTTATTTTACATGATTTCCAAAGCATCAGTAAATAGAGGTGAGCGACACAGGCTCTTGAGAGCCTCTAGTTTGGTCACTTTCAGTAATGTCAGTTGCAAACTCTCAAATCATATAAGAGGTTTTGAATTGCCATGCATCTATATGCTGCTAAACATGTTCTGAATGAATTCATCTGTGAAAATACCTGATAATCAACATCACCAAAATCCCTTAACATAACATCTGTGATCATGCCTGATAATCAACACCACCAAAATCCCTTAACATACCATCTGTGATCATGCCTGATAATCAACATCACCAAAATCCCTTAACATACCATCTGATATCATGCCTGATAATCAACATCACCAAAATCCCTTAACATATCATCTGTGATCATGATTGATACTGTAAACCAACTTTTTTTCGAAAGTTGAAAAATAGCACGAATATAAATTGTTGCGAATTTGTTAAACTTTTGTCTTCCCATATATAAGTACGCCAATAAAATTAGAAAATCCCAAAAATAAATTGCAGCGAAGTCGGCTATGAAGGGCTAAATAAGTAATCCATGAAAATAAGTTGGTTTACAGCAATCAACACTACAAAATTCCCTAAACATATCATCTGTGATCATGATTGATAATCAACACCACCAAAATTCCCTAAACATAACATATGTTATCATGCCTGATAATCAACATCTCCAAATCCTCAAAACATATCTGTGATCAGGATTGGTAACCAACATCACCATACTAATACCTTAAAGATACCATCTGTGATCATGCCTGATAATCAACATCACCAAATATCTCAAACATGTCATCTGTGATCATGCCTGGTAATCAACATCACCAAATATCTCAAACATGTCATCTGTGATCATGCTTGGTAATCAACATCACCAAATATCTCAAACATGTCATCTGTGATCATGCCTGGTAATCAACATCACCAAATATCTCAAACATATCATCTGTGATCATGCCTGATAATCAACATCACCAAGTATCTCAAACATATCATCTGTGATCATGCCTAGTAATCAACATCACCAAATATCTCAAACATATCATCTGTGATCATGCCTGATAATCAACATCACCAAATATCTCAAACATACCATCTGTGATCATGCCTGGTAATCAACATCACCAAATATCTTAAACATATCATCTGTGATCATTTGTCAACATCACAAAATTCCTTAAACATACCATCTGTGATCATTCATCAGCATCACAAAATTCCTTAAACATACCCCCAAAAAACCATTAAGGGACATTAGTAATCATAGAAGAGATAAGCATTGGACATTAATGGATAAGGGACTGGCTCAGCGTTTCGGTCTAGTGCAGCAGGATCCATATTCATATCACAATAACATGTTCTTGTCCTGAATATGCATTTACCTTTCCACTGTACATTAAACAGCCACCTATTATGATCATAGAAAAGATTACTCGCATATATATGTAGGACTCGGAGGTGCGATGGGGACACTGATGTGCGATGGTCAGGCTGAAGTGCGATGGTCTACGCCGAAGTGCGATGGGTTTGTACACTGATGTGTGATGGTCTATTTGATGCATGATTGTTAGTTTAAAATCTACAGACGTGCAATTATCATGAGAAGTAGAATTTTTGATCATTAGTATATAAATTTACATTCATTAATCATGGTCTATGGCTGTCCTTAATTACAGTTGCATACTAAATGAGAGATCGTCCTCTTTGATTTTCTACATGTGGAAATAATTCTGCATTAGCATTTTATCTATACGTTCTTTCTCTCATGAGTTCCTCGTTTACCGTAACAGTATAATGAAGAGGGTCTGTCTGTGGACCCGTATGTATTGAGAGAATGTCACGCCCAATCGTACGTAAAACAGAACCTTTTGTAGATTTCGAAAAAAAAATCGCTGCAGAAGATTAACTTTCCCCTATCCACCAATCCTTCCTGTTTACCGTTGTTTTAAGTTTATAAGCCCCTTATCAACTTAAAAACCTGGAAAACTGCTTCTAACATACAAATTGACATCTACATCGATGTGAAAAGTATTGCAAATGTAGTTTGTGTAGACCATCGCACTTCAGCGTTACCACAATCGCACTTCGGCGTAGCTATCAACAAGATAGCGTCACAATGACACCATCGCACTTCAGCGTGATCATAAACGCACTTCAGCGTCAAACCATCGCACCTCAGCGTGACCATCGCGGTTCGGAGTACCATCACGGTTCAGAGTCCTACATATATATATCAATTGCATATACTAGACTAGACTATGCTATACCGATCGGTGATGTCATAATTTCTTTATTTCAGATGTTCCTGTAAAATACCCCAAGTTCTCAGGAGATGGTTTCATGGCATTCTCTGTCTTAACAGACAGCTACAAACAGTTTGAAGTTCAGCTAGAAATAAGACCTGACAGTTCAAATGGTTTGATTTTGTTTAGCGGGGAAAAGAAAAATGCAGAATCTGACTTCTTTTCCATAGCCCTGGTGGATGGTTTTGTAGAATTCAGGTACATGTAGTCATTGTAAATTGATATAGGGTATATAAGGGAATTAAATAATGCAGATATTTAGATATTAAAATATGATCTTTGGTAATGGACAAGTTTTACTGAATACTGAAGTATGAAGATATTGTCTTGCCCCAGCTTGCAGGCTCAATATATATTCTACCTGAAATGATATCCATGTGAATAAGTGCAATAATCCTTGTATTGTATTGTATGGCAAAATTTTGAAAATAACAAAAGCTGTTTTGGGGTAGGGTTAATTCAAGTCATGAACAATAGAAAATAGAATCTTTTTACAAAAACATGAAATTTGTGTTTCTTTACCAAAGTTGTAAAGGTGCAACTCTGAGAAGGGTTAGGTATATAATTAAACTTCAGAAATAAGACAATAGGGGGAGATGTTGAAATATCTTTCTAAGCCTAGTAGACATGGTAGACAAGAGGGTTGACAACAATAAACGAGAATCCTTCCCATACCACTGGATGATCTGAAACTCAGCCTACTTAACTGAATATTGAAAGTAAATATGAAGAATAAAGACAATTAATGTTTATAGTTATCTATATTGCATACAAAATTATTTTCAGGTATGATTGTGGTACTGGTATGGCTGTAATAAAAAGTAAAGACCAAGTTAACAAAGGAGATTGGAATATGGTCACAGTGAAACGTGTTGGCAATGAAGGCTCCCTGAAGCTGAATGATCATGATATAATACAAGGTTTATCAAAGGTATAATTATTTTGAATTTTATAGAGGCAAACTTGAGTATGGTAAAAAAGTAAGGAAAGCCAACAATGACATACAACCATCCAGGAACTGCATTCTGTACTTGAATCATTCATAATTAACTGTTATGGAACCTTTTGACCATGGGAATTTATTCAAAGAAAGGATATGGGGTATCCATCCATGACACAAAAAGTAAAGGAACAGCGCCTTTATTGCTGTTCTTCATCTCAAAGTCACAGTGAAGCCTTCAACACGGAACAAAAAACTCTCACTTCACTGCAAGTTTAAAATGGCCCCTAGCACTGGTTTGAGCAGAATTCTTTGCAAATTGACGATCACTTCACAACTGTGAATTTAAGATCAAAGCCATGGAGTAATATCAATAAAATAAATCTGGCAAAAAAATCAAACATTTACTGTCATGATTTAACCGAACAATCACGCTGAAGTGTGTAAAAAACAATACAATCATTAAGACAACAACAGGGCATATGGAGATATATGTTAGATAAATTGGCAGGAAATAAGGTATGTACAGGATAAATAATTTGGGTAGTCTATGTATGATGTAACACCACCAACTCAGGCCCGGTCAATGAGAACATACCGGAAAGTACTACATAATTAAAACAAAATAGTTCCTACACATAGGTGTAAATATTAAACTATGTAGAATATATATTGTTAATTTAACCAAACATTGTAATCATTTGTACATATCTAAATTTAAATTGATTATTCTGCCTTTAATGGGTGTCTTTTGTCGACAATAAATATAGAACTTGAAAAATTCATTGGATTATTTTTGTTGATGTTTTGACTCTTTTGCTCAGATTCCACCAAAAAGAATACTTAAAACAGTATATATTGAATTGACATTCATTACACTTGTTTTTAATTTAAAAAAAATCCTTTTTAAAGGGAGCTTACTCTAGACTGACTCTAAGATTGAAGTTATATCTTGGTGGATATATTGATATGACCTCTATTGCTGAGAGAGTTGGTGTAACACAGTCATTTGTTGGTTGCATACAGAGTATGAATATAAATGAGGAGCAGTATGATATGAGACAGGCGGACTTCTTTGGGCAAGCGGAACTAGGTCTGAATGTTGGTAAGTGTGAATGACCACTTTGTGTAGATTTAACTAAGCTAGATATTGGTAAATAAGGAGGAAGTGGACTATTATGGGCAGGTAGAACTAGACCAGATTGTTAATAACAAAAATTATGTGGAATATTTTAGGCAGGCAGAACTAGGCCAGAATGTTATTAAATGTCCTTGAAATTAACACTTGTTTGTCTGCTCACAACCTGAAATAATCAGTTTGGATCTATACATTTCTTTAATTTTGTATTTCATTTTTGCTTAGAAATTGCCACTTTGAACACAGGGAATTGTAAAATTCAAAGTCTAATGTTGATCACTGCTTTTTAGCATGTTGAGAAATGTAAATGTTAGATAAATTTTGGTTTACAAAATTGACTTTCAGAATTGTTTTTCTTCAAACAAATTTTGTATATCCAGATGAATGCAGTTCAGAGGAATGTTTAGGAGTTACTTGTCAACATGGAGGTTTATGTACAGCTACCTCAGCAGATCAGCATGTATGCTTATGTCCCTTGGGTTGGACAGGAGAGCTGTGTCAACAAAGTGAGTAATCATACCAACAGAACTGATATTGGGATATAACTACTACTGCTAGCATCATCATATTTAGGCATAGTAGATTTAAGTCTTCCTTCTTGTTTATTTGCTTCCAAACATAAAAGCTCCAAAATTTAACACACCAAAATAAATCATTTTACAGAAAGGATACATTCAAAAATAATGATAGGGGTCTTTATACAATAAATTTTATTATGCTAAAATTGAAATACTGTAGTGATATAACTTGCCAAAATTTGACACAAAATTTAACCATTATTTTTAGGTAAAAACTGTCAAAATGTCATCTTGATAAATGATATTTGAACCTACCACTCTATCGGATCACATTATTTTTATGCAGAGCATTCCTTTATTTTGCTTTTAGATGAATTCATGTTTTTGTTCATCTATAAACAATCACAATGAATAATGTACGCAATGAAGTCTGAATGTTCTGTGTAGTTATAGAAGGAAGTCCAACATGCTGACCTGTTTTGTTGAAAATGTAATTTTGCTATTATACCCATATTTTAATTAAAAATAAACACTTTGGAAGTTTGTGATGCAGTATTTCCCATTGAAGTTAGTAGACCAGAAATTGAATTCAAAATGTTGCTGTAAAATATAATGAAAAAAATTATTGATGTAAGGTTAAAAATCCTACTTATCTCAAATTTAATTTAGAAAATAGTATACCATAATAAAAATCCAGCATGCTGCACAGTGAAGTTATTATATGATGTTGAAATAAACAACTTTCATTGATTTAATACTACATTTAAATATGTAATCTAATTGGATATGATGGCAAATTAGTTAACCCTGTAATAAAAAAATTTGTTATTCTGTCACAGAATTTAATGTAGATAACTTATTTTTTGTAGGAGTTGAGATACATGTTCCATATTTTGCTGGCCATTCTTTTGTTAGACACCGAGGTTTAGAAAGATCTTCTTTATCCTTTACTGAGATTGATATGGTGTTCAAACCAATTAGTTGGGAAGGATTGATATTGTATAATGGCTACACTAATGACAGAAAGGGAGATTTTATTTCATTATCCATGAGGGAAGGACATCTAGAATTCCAGTTTGACCTGGGTACTGGACCGGGAGTCCTCAGGTAAAATAAAGGGTGTGATTATAAGTAAAACCAGTCAGAATTTGTTTTTTATGAATTAAATGCTCATTGTTTTAAATTTTATTCAATAGGGTGTAATAGTGACTGAAGACCATTTATTTGACGAAAGTTCTTCATACTAAGTGTGTGCATTCAACACTGTAGATTATAGTCATAGATGTTGCATGTTACATGGAAATAAAATATAAATTTAAGAATGTCTCAATCAATCAAAATTGCAGAATTGTCGGATGCAGATCCATGATTTTGAAAGGGGAAGGAGGGTGGAACAATTCAACGTTAGGTGTGGGACATGTAAAAACTACATATGCATTAACTTTTTTAACTAACCCTCCATAAAGCGTGGGACAGGCCCCTTCCCCTCATAAGTTAGCCTCTGAATGCATGAAATTTTTGAAGTGTAACTATTTGAACTTTCAGAATTTCTTGAGAATATTTGACTTGGAGTACAATTATATGAACACACACAGTGACCTAAAGTTGTTAACTTCTATGTCATTTGGTCTCTGGTGGAGAGTTGTCTCTTTGGCAATTATACCACATCTTCTTATTTTTACATTATAATAAATAAAGTTGCTTTATTTTTAATGCTTTGCAATTTGAACAATAGTCTTTTTTTTGTCGAGCCTGCGAAAGTGAGATATAGTTATCCTAGATTCCGTTGGTGGTGGTGTCAACATTTAGATTCAGTCTGCGGTTAAAGTTTTTTTAGACATCAGAAACTTTGTCAAACCTACATGGAATTTTATGAAATTAGGACAGAAGCTTGTTTATTACAAAAATACAGTATCCAGAGCAAAATTTTGAAAATATTTATTTCCATTTTTCCGTATTTTACTAATAAATGGACTTAGTTTTTTTTTTACAGTTAACATTCAGATTTAGTCTGAGGTTAAAGTTTTTCAGTCATCAATAACTTTGTCAAAGCTTCATGGAATTTTATGAAATTTGGCCAGAAGCTTGTTTATGATCAAAAAACAGTTTCCAGAGTGAAATTTTGAAAATATTTATTTTTATTTTTCCATATTTTACTGATAAATGGACTTAGTTATTTTTACAGTTAACAAGAAGATACAGTCTGGGGCAAGGGTCCGGAAACGGTCATATTTGCCAGTCATGTCCTAAGATGAAACTATTTGTCCTAAACGAGTAATTGGAATTTAGGACAAATTTTATTTTTTTAGAGAAGTAATTTCGGTCATTTCATTGACTCAATGTTTGAAATCGGATTTCGTAATCGCCATTTTGCACTTGTGATCACTTGTTTTTGTTTATAATCCCTTTCCTGTAATAACACTGCCACTACAGTAGTTTGATAATCCTGAGGGCCCTCCTAATATCTATATCAATGCCTCAGGGAAACATTGGCTAATGATCGCTAATCACTGTTTACCTGTGGTTTTAACTTTCACACCTGACAGTGATCACAAGCTCAGAATAATATCTTTAAAACATTAAAGTTCCCTGACAAGTGTATTCATTATTTATTTACTTTTCATCAAAGACAGTCATCAATTCTGATTTAAAAATTAAATCTAAATTTACGTAGAAAAAAGTATTTTTTCATGAGTAACACATGTGCTTTATTTACTATGTAATACGCATGCGTGAAATTGTCTTCAGCAAATTAAATATTTAATCGTAAAATGCTAATTGATTTCATGCTAAATTAAACGAGTGCAACTATTATCTGTTATATTCAAACACTTTTAAAGGTAATAAAATAAAAAAGCCATAAAAACCCGGTGATTTCCTGTCAATTTGATAAACAAAACAAATCCCGGAAATGAATCCGGAATTATTCGTACTTTAAAATATCGCAAACTTCCGGTTTTAACTTTTGTCAAACCGAAAGAAATGTAAGCAATGTCTGAGAAATTAACTATTTTGAGTCAATAAAATCATTTCAATTTTAGACTGTTGCCTTCCCTAAACTGTCCTTCATGGTAATGGTAAGACATTTACTTAGTAAATGCGATGAAACAGCAATACAAGTTCGTCATGTTCGTTGATGCTATGAATATATTCAAGTTGATATCGACAATTTGAAAAGGGGCACCAACTTTTCAAACATCTCAAAATGACCGAAATTGTCTGGAAAAATTTCCGGATCCTTGGTCTGGGGTTAAAGTTTGTTACACATCAATTACTTTGTCAAACCTTCATACAGTTTTTTGAAACTATGGCAGAAGCTTTTTAATGATTAAGAGATAATGTCTGAATCAAACCTTTGAAAATATGTTTTTTTTCATTTTTAGTATTTTTCTGATAGATTGACTTCGTTTTTTACAATTAACATTCACAGACATTTTAAAATTTTGAAATTTTTTGACATGATAAATTTGTAAACCTTCATGGTTTGCTTTGAAACTTGGACAGAAGCTAATCTTCAAGACCAAGAAATAGCATCTAAAGAAAAAGTTTGAAATTTTTTTCAAATTCTGTGTTTTTCTTATAAATGGACTCACTTTCTTTTTAAGTCAACATTACACTTTTACATTGACAGCAGCAATCACAGGCACCACTTCCAATTTTTTTATTATTCTAAAAAAAACATCAGTTTTCCTAACTTTTTGGGGTATGGCTGTAAATACTGTTTATAATTTTATAAGTGTAAAATGGTGAGGTACATATTAATTTTGTGTTTTTGTGTTGAATGACATTCTTTTAATGAAATTATGGCCCTTGTTCAAATTGAACTATGCAAAACTATTTTTGTTATGCCAGTAGATATTGAACTGATTTATTGGTTTATGAATCAAAAATGCTTAGCTGCTTATCGAGTCTGGTTTCATTCTGGATAATCTACTTTTCATGAAATTATGCCTTCCACTATACCACAGACCTGGACATTCATGTCATATCTAGTTTCATTCTAAATTGCTATTTATGTATTGTTAGATTTTCTTCTATAATTAACATAGAGTTTCCTTTTTCATAGTGCTTCATTGGTCAAAATTCAATTATGATATCAGATTTTTATACGACCGCAAAAAAATTTTTGTGGTCGTATATTGGTATGACGTTGGCGTCGTCGTTGTCGTCGTCATCGTCGTCGTCCGAAGACACATTGGTTTTCGCACTCTAACTTTAGTTTAAGTGAATGGATCTCTATGAAATTTTACCACAAGGTTCAATACCACAAAAGGAAGGTTGGGATTGATTTTGGGGGTTATGGTACCAACAGTAAAGGAATTAGGGGCCAAAAATAAGCATTTTTGTAACTTCCAGACATAACTTGTGTGTTAGTGTATGGATCTCTCTGACATTGTACCACAAGGTTCCATATCACAAAAGGAATGCTGGGATTGATTTTGGGGGTAATTGCCTCAAAATTTTAGGAATTAGGGGCCAAAAAAAGGGGCAAAAAACAAGCATTTTTCTAGTTTCATGACAATAACTTGTGTGTAAGTGTATGGATCTTTCTGAAATTGTACTACAAGGTTCCATATCACAAAGGGAAAGCTGGAATTGAGTTTGGGGGTAATTGCCGAAACGTTTAGGAATTGGGGGCCAAAAAGGGGCCAAAAATAAGCATTTTTCTAGTTTCCAGACAATAACTTGTGTTCAAGTGTATGGATCTCTCTGAAATTGTACTGCAAGGTACCATACCACAAAGGGAAGGCTGGGATTGATGATGGGGGTAATTGCCTCAATATTTTAGGAATTAGGGGCCAAAAAGGGGCAAAAAACAAGCATTTTTCTAGTTTCAGGACAATAACTTGTGTGTTAGTGTATGGATCTTTCTGAAATTGTACTACAAGGTTCCATATCACAAAGGGAAAGCTGGGTTTGAGTTTGGGGGTAATTGCCCTAAACGTTTAGGAATTTGGGGCCAAAAAGGGGCCAAAAAACACATTTTTCTAGTTTCCAGACAATAACTTGTGTTCAAGTGTATGGATCTCTCTGAAATTGTACTGCAAGGTACCATACCACAAAGGGACTGCTGGGATTGAGTTTGGGGGTGATGAATCATAAGGGGGTTCAAAAAATTTGGGGGGGGGGGGGGGTTTTCCTTTTTTTTCTTTTTTTCCTTTTTTTTTTCTTTTAAAATTTTCCATTTTAAGTTGGTTATTTCTGATTTATTTTTAAAAGCAAATAATAATGATATGGTAGGAGATACACACCAAACAGGATGTGTAAATTATTATATAATAAGTATTGTGCAATAGCAAGAAATTTTCAATTGCACAGTATTGCACAATAGCAAGAAATCTTCAATTCCCAGTATTGCGCAATAGAAAGATATCTTCAATTGCACAGTATTGTGCAATAGCAAGAAATATCCAATAGCACAATATTGCGCAATAGCAAGAAATTGTCAATTGTACAGTATTGCGCAATAGCAAGAAATATTTAATTGCACAGTATTGTGCAAAAGAAGATACTTCGTATAAATTGCTTATTTCTTGACCAATTTCAATGGGGTTTTATTCTTGAATTCTTGGGGTTCTTTAATATGCTGAATCTAACCGTGTATTTAGTTTTGGGATTTTGGGCCCTGTTTTTAAATTGGTCCACATTGAGGTCCAAAGGGTCCAAAATTAAACTTTGTTTGATTTCATCAAAAATTGAATTATTGGGGTTCTTTGATATGCCGAATCTAACCGTGTATTTAGATTCTTAATTTTTGGTTCCATTTTCAAATTGGTCTACATTAAGGTCCAAAGGGTCCAAAATTAAACTTAGTTTGATTTTAACAAAAATTGAATTCTTAGGGTTCTTTGATATGCTGAATCTAAACATGTATTTAGATTTTTGATTATGGGCCCAGTTTTCAAGTTGGTCCAAATCAGGGTCCAAAATTAAACTTTGTTTGATTTCAACAAAAATTGAATATATGGGGTTCTTTGATATGCTGAATCTAACCATGTATTTAGATTTTTGATTTTTGGGCCCCGTTATCAACTTTGTCCACATTGAGGTCAAAAGGGTCCAAAATTAAACTTTGTTTGATTTCATCAAAAATTGAATTCTTGGGGTTCTTTGATATGCTGAATCTAACCATGTATTTAGATTTTGGATATTGGACCATAATAGGTGAATGTCCAATTTAAAATTTTTAAGTTCTTAGACCACATTCATTCTGTGTCAGAAACCTATGCTGTGTCAAATATTTAATCACAATCCAAATGCAAAGCTGTATCAAGCTTGAATGTTGTGTCCATACTTGCCCCAACTGTTCAGGGTTCGACCTCTGCGGTCGTATCAAGCTGCGCCCTGCGGAGCATTTTATTCCAATTGTCCTCCTGTTTTGCAATTTATGTCAGGATGAATCGCAGCAATGAATGTCTGAGAACCATCTTCATTTCTTATCTTTTTACAGTTTAATGTTAAATATATTCGGCCAGTCTCATCATTATTATATGAAAATTAAACTGTATAAAACAGAGAAATATCATATCTCACTCATTGTAATGGCTAAATCTATCTTTCACTTAAGTTCATGCATACAAAAAAACTATAATTTCATATCTGCTCTCATCGGCATGCTCAACTCTTCAAACTCGTCAGGAAGGAGTGATAACCACATTTTTTGCATGGAAATGCCCTTTTTGAATTTCATTTCCAAATGTCTAAATTTTACAAAAAAACATAAAGACTGCTATCCATTTCATATACATTTTACTTTTAATTAAGAATCTTTGTTTATGATTCTTCAGGAGTATTCAGCATGTTACATTAAATGAGTGGCACAATGTAAAAGTTACCAGAACAGGACTACAAGGTATAATGGAGATAGACAATCAAATAAGAGTGGAAGGTAACGCTGAAGGTGGCTTCACACAACTGACATTGCTACAGGATCTCTACATTGGTGGACATGAAAACTTTGATCAGATATCTAAACTAGCCAATTTGACTTCATCATTCACTGGCTGTATACAAAAGGTAATATCTGTCTTCTTTATTAACTGGCTGTATACAAAAAATGTCATATTTATACAAGTCTTTTATATGTCTAGGATGGATTAACACAGCTGGCATACTAACCAGGTGTCCTGAATATGCATGCAATATTTGTCACTTGATGTTAAATATGTGAAATATGATTATTTTGATTAGATGTTTAAACAAATAAAATCATAGATAACAGGATTAAAATTGTGTACGCTAGGCATGAGTTTCGTCAATAAAAGACTCATCAGTGATGATATGATTAAAAAAAAAGTTGAATAAAAAGACCAAATAAAGTACAAAGTTGAAGAGCATTGAGGACCCAAAATTCCGAAAAGTTAATCTTTTCCTGGGGTAGAAAATCCTTAGTATTTTGAAAATTTCAAATTTCTGTAAACAGTTAATTTATAACTATGGCCATATCAATGCTAATTCATAGATCAAGTGATCATATTTGTATAATCCCAAGGTTTCTGATGTTGAGGCACATAGGGAACATCGTAATTTTGATTAGATATCCAAACTGTCAAATTTGAATTCATTCTTTGTATGTTAAAGGTTTGTAAACTACCTCACGAAATACTACTGCATATGATATATCAAAATTTCAGCCATATACCTAAATTGATTGAGGCTATTTCTCAAATTTTTTATAGAAGGGAGTTTCCCATCAATACAAGATTTATAGGCCTATGATAAGATTAACCAGATGTAGGAATATTAAAGCTTAATTGTTTACAAGGTGATAGTTTAGATATATATAAACAGCTAGGATGGAAGTAGATCATGGCTCCACATACTTGTGCTTGCAGTGGTTGATATGGCAAGGTTATTATATCTTATGTGAGATAAAGATAAAGTGACATATGGAAGTATTCATTTTTTCGCTGTGTTGAAGACCCATTGGTGGCTTTGGGCTGTTTTTTTGCTTTTTGGTCGGGTTGTTGTCTCTTTGATACATTCCCTTTTTCCATTCTCAATTTTATGAAAAGGTTAACTATGCTTGTTCCATATTTAGTGTATCAATTGTCACTGGTCCACCTTATCTTGTACCAATCTTTAGATAGTTAATGGAACTAGAGAAATAGACACATTTAAAAACTATAGATGTTATATTTATGATTTATAGATGATCATTAATGGTCGACATTTAGAGGTAGTGTCTGATGCAAGAGAGGGTATTAACATTGACAACTGTGACCATCCTTGTGTAGATCAGCCATGTTTAAATGCTGGGGAATGTGAACCTGATAAAGAAGAATATAATTGTTATTGCCCTCTGGGATATCACGGTACAGATTGTGACGACAGTAAGTAAAGACATATGTAATTGTTATTGCCGTCTGGGATGTCATGGCACAGATTGTGAGGATAGTAAGTGAAGACATTTATTATTGTTCTTGCCATCTGGGATATCTTGGCACAGATTGTGAGGATAGTAAGTAAAGACATATATAATTGTTCTTGCCATCTGGGTTATCAATGCACAGATTGTAACGACAGTAAGTAAAGACATATATAATTGTTATTGCAGTCTGGGATATCATGACACAGATTGTGAGGATAGTAAGTAAAGACATTGAATTGTTACTGCCCTTTAGGATATCATGGCACAGATTGTGAGGAAAGTAAGTAAAGACATATATAATTGTTCTTGCCATCTGGGATATCAATGCACAGATTGTGAGGATAATAAGTAAAGATATATATAATTGTTCTTGCCATCTAAGATATCGATGCACAGATTGTGAGGATAGTAAGTAAAGACATATATAATTGTTCTTGCCGTCTGGGATATCAATGCACAGATTGTGACCACAGTAATTAAAGACATATATAATTGTTCTTGCCGTCTGGGATATCAATGCACAGATTGTGACAACAGTAAGTAAAGACATATATAATTGTTATTATTATACCTTACATATGTTTCAAACAATTCTATTGGGTAAAACATTATCACATGACATGGAATAATTCAGATAATTTTTATTCAATTGCAAGGAAGAACGAATAACCCTAAAAATTTACACCAGTGTTGAATAACCGTTATTCACCGACAAATAACCTTTTTAGTTTGTTGATTTGTACCCATGAAAATGACGTCACAGACGTAAATAAACAAAATGGCAACGTTCAAGTTACAGGAAGCCCATTAATCGAGAGAAGAGGAAATAAGGCTTTTGACGTGCATCTTGTGCCGATGATATCTCTAATAACGGTCCTTTTCAGGGCCATCAATATTTTACAAAAAGAATCTTTCTTTGTTGTACATACGAGAATTCTAAGACACAAATTACATGTATTTTTGAACGTCAACTTGAGTTTGTTACTGACTCAAGTAAGGGTAAGTGCTATTACAATTATTCAAAATGCCCTTCCACTGTTAGTTCGGTATAATAAAACAATTGTGGCCCCTTAGAAGCGATGAATATCCAAAATTGTCAACCCTTTAAAGTTATTTCACTTCGGGCTGCGCCCTCAGTGAAATAACCTTCTCGTGTTGACAATTTTGGATATTCACCTTTTCAACGGGCCATAATTGTATATTGCCGTCTGGGATATCATGACACAGATTGTGTGGATAGTAAGTAAAGACATATATAACTGTTATTGCCGTCTGGGATATCAATGCACAGATTGTGAGGATAGTAAGTAAAGACATATATAGTTGTTCTTGCCGTCTGGGATATCATGGCACAGATTGTGAGGATAGTAAGTAAAGACATATATAATTGTTATTGCTGTCTGGGATATCATGGCACAGATTGTGTGGATAGTAACTAAAGACATATATAATTGTTATTGCCGTCTGGGATATCATTGCACAGATTGTGAGGATAGTAAGTAAAGACATATATAATTGTTCTTGCCGTCTGGGATATCATGGCACAGATTGTGAGGAAAGTAAGTAAAGACATATATAATTGTTCTTGCCGTCTGGGATATCATGGCACAGATTGTGAGGATAATCAGTAAAGACATATATAATTGTTACTGCCCTCTAGGATATCATAGCACAGATTGTGTGGATAGTAAGTAAAGACATATATAATTGTTACTGCCCTCTAGGATATCATGGTACAGTTTATAATTGTTCTTGCCGTCTGGGATATCATGGCACAGATTGTGAGGATAGTAAGGAAAGACATATATAATTGGTATTGCTTTCTGGGATTTCATGGCACAGATTGTGAGGATATTAAGTAAAGACATATATAATTGTTATTGCTGTCTGGGATATCATGGCACAGATTTTGAGGATAGTAAGTAAAGACATATATAATTGTTCTTGCCGTCTGGGATATCATTGCACAGATTGTGAGGATAGTAAGTAAAGACATTTAATTGTTACTGCCCTTTAGGATATCATGGCACAGATTGTCAGGAAAGTAAGTAAAGACATATATAATTGTTACTTCCAGGATTTCTTGCATTGAATTGTTTCGAAAGGATTGTGTGAAATAATGAATATGACCCATCAGAATATGGAAACTCTTCAATTTTTCATAATGTTGAATTTCAGTTGTTGAAGAGAAGATAGATGCTGCACATTTTAGTGGACACAGTTACCTCATGTATTCAGAAAAGGATATTATTGAAAGGTTAGTAATATTATTATCAATATCTTGAGTGTTTTACTATATTATACAATTAATGACTTTTGATGAGGTTGATATAATGATTTATCAACCCCAGAGATATGATATTTACTGAGGACAACAGCCAAGGGTGAATGTCAGATTTCTGGAGTTGATAAATCATTGTATCAACTGAAATCAAAAGTCAACCATTGTTTTATTATATGACTTTTTATCCTTCTCCAATTTTCTAGTATTTGCTCAAGATACTTTTAAAACTGCTCCCTGTTTTTATACTAAATATATCATCTGCTTTTGCAGTTGCTACTTTGCATAAGTTGAAATATTCAATAAAGTTTACTTTAAAAATACACTGAAAACAAGAAGAAGAAAAAAAATACACCGAAAAAACAGAAGAAAAAGAAAAAAACAGGAATTTACATGACGTCATAAACGTTTTCTTGGAATATCTAAATTTAGGTACATGGATGCTGTTCCAAATCTTATATTAACCTCTCGAGATTTTGGCTGCGGTGAATATAATGTTTTATCTAAGAGGATTTCCTATGCTTTTAGCCAATGGGAAAACAGAAAATTTATAGTCATAGAATAAACAAATTTATACATGTATGTTTAATTATTATCTGAGATTCACACTGAATGTAAAGATTATAAAGCAATGCCTGAATTAAACTTATGTAAATCAGATTTGATTTTGATGCATCTTTTCCTTCAAGAAGAATATATACATGAATAGTTGTATTTATCTTTCTGACATTAGTGTACAGGGATGTTCTCCAGAAATAGTTTTGTGTAGTTATCTTCCTGACATTAGTGTGGGTTATTCTCCAGAAATAGTTTTGTGTAGTTATCTTCCTGACATTAGTGTAGGTTATTCTCCAGAAATAGTTTTGTGTATTTATCTTTCTGACATTAGTGTACAGGGTTGTTCTCAAGAAATAGTTTTGTGTAGTTATCTCCCTGACATTAGTGTACTTGGTTGTTCTCCAGGAAAACAGTTTTGTGTAGGTATCTTCCTGACATTAGTGTAGGTTATTCTCCAGAAATAGTTTTGTGTATTTATCTTTCTGACATTAGTGTACAGGGTTGTTCTCAAGAAATAGTTTTGTGTAGTTATCTCCCTGACATTAGTGTACTTGGTTGTTCTCCAGGAAAACAGTTTTGTGTAGGTATCTTCCTGACATTAGTGTAGGTTATTCTCCAGAAATAGTTTTGTGTATTTATCTTTCTGACATTAGTGTACAGGGTTGTTCTCAAGAAATAGTTTTGTGTAGTTATCTCCCTGACATTAGTGTACTTGGTTGTTCTCCAGAAAAACAGTTTTGTGTAGGTATCTTCCTGACATTAGTGTAGGTTATTCTCCAGAAATAGTTTTGTGTATTTATCTTTCTGACATTAGTGTACAGGGTTGTTCTCAAGAAATAGTTTTGTGTAGTTATCTCCCTGACATTAGTGTTCTTGGTTGTTCTCCAGAAAAACAGTTTTGTGTAGGTATCTTCCTGACATTAGTGTAGGTTATTCTCCAGAAATAGTTTTGTGTATTTATCTTTCTGACATTAGTGTACAGGGTTGTTCCCAAGAAATAGTTTTGTGTAGTTATCTTCCTGACATTAGTGTACTTGGTTGTTCTCCAGAAAAACAGTTTTGTGAATGTATCTTCCTGACATTAGTGTAGGTTATTCTCCAGAAATAGTTTTGTGTATTTATCTTTCTGACATTAGTGTACAGGGTTGTTCTCAAGAAATAGTTTTGTGTAGTTATCTTCCTGACATTAGTGTACTTGGTTGTTCTCCAGAAAAACAGTTTTGTGAATGTATCTTCCTGACATTAGTGTAGGTTATTCTCCAGAAATAGTTTTGTGTATTTATCTTTCTGACATTAGTGTACAGGGTTGTTCTCCAGAAATAGTTTTGTGTAGTTATCTTCCTGACATTAGTGTACAGGGTTGTTCTCCAGAAAAACAGTTTTGTGTAGGTATCTTCCTGACATTAGTGTACAGGGTTGTTCTCCAGAAATAGTTTTGTGAATGTATCTTCTTGACATTAGTGTACAGGGTAAACGTTGTTCTCCAGAAATAGTTTTGTGTAGGTATCTTCCAGACATTAGTGTACAGGGTTGTTCTCCAGAAATAGTTTTGTGTAGTTATCTTCCTGACATTACTGTATAGGGTTGTTCTCCAGAAAAATAGTTTTGTGTAGTTATCTCCCCGTAACCAGAAAAATGAATTATTCACCAGAAATTTAGGAATTTTTCTTTAAGAATATGACAACATTCCTATATGAATTTATATATATTATGATATTTTTTTCTTGGCAGATTCTAAGAATATTTATGGTCAGAGATATAATTGGGTTTGGGGATTTAAAGACACTAAAAATCAATAATGATGGGAATTTGTAGAAAGCACAAAACTCTGAATAATCCAAACCCTTTCAAGCCCTGCCTGTCTGTAAAGATTATTCTGAAAAACAGACTGAAGATCATGTCTGTTTATACATTTTTGATGTTGCCTATCATTTCTTTGATTTTTTAACAGGGTTAATGGAAATAAAATTGACATACAGATGAAAATAAAACCTGAAACTAAAGATGGACTGATATTTTGGAGTGGAAAACATTATCCATTGACTTCATCCAGTGACTTTTTAGCATTAGGATTTACAAATGGTGCTCTTACATTACGATACAATCTTGGAGGTGGTGAAGCCAAAATAACGTATAATTCCACTAATTTATTTGATGGGAAATGGCATGATATAAGAGTTCAAAGGTGAGTTGAGTCATTTTAGTTCTTAAAATTAATTTTTATGTCCCTGCTGCTGGGGGAAGGAGACAGTAATTGTTACCCTTGTTCATCCTTAAGATTTTGTTCTAGTTTAGCTTACTTCAACCAAATGTTATGAAGCTTTTACACAATCTTATTACCACAAAACACAAATCAAGTTAGAATTTTGGTGGCTTCACCTCCACCGCTCTTGAGGTATGTCCCTTTATAAATGAAAAAATTTCTGAATTTGCTGTTTACACACTCTTACTCATTGGGGCTTTGTTTGTCCCAGTATGTTTGAAAGGATTCAGTTTTAGGCTATGATAAATTTAGAAGAAAAATAAGGCTACCTATGATGTTAAAAGATACCCTGGTTATTGAATGCTTTTCATAAATAAAAAATAAATGTTCTGCATTATTTATGTAGATTTGATGTATGGATTTACAAGGAATAATAATTAAATGATTGCAGGGAATTGAAATATAGACACTCCTTAAAAATACACGGGGCATGCTAATTATTTGCAGTTCATTGCAACTCAGGATTTTTCAAGGAAAAATTGAGCTGGTATTTTGAAATTATCATATATATGTCAAACAGATATGGAAAACTTTTGTGTTCCATTATACCATTGCAAGATGAATTATATTTTCTTATGTATAAGATTGATTTTATCAGCAATATGATCAGTACTTGATGACCATTAAAAAATAAAGGGTGAAATGGACATTAAGATGTCCTTTTCCTTTTGAACAGTGCCTTATCTACTAAAAATAACAAATCAAATTTTAGGCTGAGTCAATGTCAGATAAAAAATTCTGAAAATTCATAGGGTAAGGTCAGAACATTTTGCAGGTGTAATATAAGTAACAGAGATGTTAGGCCACACCAAATTAATGTCTTGTTTGTCAGAAAAGCCACTTCAAATTTTCCTATTCTGTTTTTTTTTTTTTTAATTTTCAGCCCTAAATTTTTTTGACAGGCATGTTTCCAGATGTTACTTTTACAAGAACATTTTCTGTACAATCAAATTGAAATTTTTGATTTGACTGCGTACAATATCGACTCAAAATAATGAGTTTTATCAACAATGTTGATTTTGTTTAGCAAAATTCAAAAATGCAGAGGCCAAATACTATATGTCGTTTGTAGACCATGGATACAACTTGTTTGTTGTTTGAAAAAAAAGCGCAGAAACGACAAGTCATATTGAATGTTCAGTGTCAAACGAGAAGTGGGGAAACAGTCATTGTTGGCATTTCAAGTAATTAACCTGATTTAATAAAAGATTTTGTTCTATTTTGAACATGTTCAATTGATTTTTGGCCTTCATTTTCTGTACAGGGCCCTATACTTCAGAGGTAGCCTAAAGTTCCCTTTATTGTAAGGGTTTGTTTTAAGTTTCAGGGCTGGGGTTAGGGTTCAGTATGTGTAAGGTTTAGTTTTATTGTGAGGAAATTTAGAAGAGGTCTATATGAATGACCGGGACGCCTGGAGTAAGTGAATGTGGATTATTTAACTAATGTTATTTCTTCCCTTTTAAATAATGGACTCAAACAAAAGCTTGAAGTGATATTGAAGGTATTTTAATATTGAAGCTAATCTATATAACGTGAGGACTATTTTAAAATCAAAGGTGTCACCATTTCTTTTATTCAGTGATAAACAATGCCTTAGTAGCTCTCATTAATTTTTGAGTTGCTTAATACTGGAAGGCCTCTACAGTTACTACTGCGCACATATAAAAAAAATATAATTTAAGTGATACATGTAAAAATGACAATTAAGGATACTTTTGAATCCTATTTATGCTGCTTATATCGAAAATTCCAATATCAGACACCTAAAAAAAAATTTGCTCCATCAGATTCATTTAAAAAAAAATTGCTCTCCCCTGCTCTATTTTCATCTGAAAAATCCAATTTCTTTGGTGTGGCCTTAGTGTGTTATATTCATAAGCTCCTTGGAAAAATATCTGAAATGCTGTACAATAGCCCAATTACCATATATCTGGTTTTTTACGCATGTGTTTAATTTTCACTTTGTTCGCGGCACCTAAAGAAAGGCGAAAATTTGACCCCGCGTAAATTTCCCTGCATATTCCTAGATTTATCGCTGTGGAAACGTTTCTGTTTATTGTCGAGTTTACACGATATTGATATGCTTACTCATTTCACTCTAAATGTGAAATTACAGTATTACCTATACTCCATGACTAAATATTACTAAAACACAAATGTAAATTTGCCGACAGCCCATCGAACGTGATAGACACTGTATTTAATTTGTATCTCAAATAAAGTAGTACACATTTTACAAATATCAAACATATACAATGTGTTATATATATCAATGTGTCAATAGCGTATTCGCTCATATTTCTGAATTTTTACCCTTCATAGATAGTCTAGGCCGTCCAGGAAATACCATGAAATCATTATTTATATATATGAATATGATGGAAACCTGTATCCGATGCCAATGCTCGTGCCTATCTCAGGATAAAAGTGTCGGACCACACCTTTAATTAGCAAATACTTAATAAAAAGAAAATCAGAAAATCAGAAAATCAAGTTTAATTGCAATCAGCAATTATAAAAAGGAGCTTACTATGTTGTAGGACAGCTAGAAAGTGAAGCGCTTGAAAACACCAAATATATTGTAATACAAAATTCAACTTCCTAATTGGTCAATTTTGTCATGCCTTATGAATATTTATGAAAACGTAACGACAATACAATATTTTCCCGCTTTACTATACAAACCACGGGAAAATACTAGTATTACCTATACTCCATGACTAAATATAACTAAAACACAAATGTAAATTTGCCAACAGCCCGTCGAACATGATAGAAATATACAAAGAAAGAGTACACAATCCAAATATGAACTATAAACCTAAAACTTGAGAAATTTTCAAACGTTTCTCTATGGAGTCTACGATATAACCATCTTTACTTGAGTCAGATTTCCATCTGCCGCGTTTTTTCAAACACCTGTGGCTAACGTCTGCGTTAGAGCCACCGTGGCACCACCGGATCTGAACGAGTTAAGAACTATGTTACAACCAGGACGAATAATTCTGATTCTTTTAAGAAGACACCCTAGCCGCCGTGTAACTGAGTTTCTTATCCTTATTATTCAATTTACACAACTCTCCTGACCTATAGATAGGACGAAATAAAAATTTGTTCTCATGACTACTAAAACCAGCCAAACGTGTGTATTTAACTAACATATTATAGGGACATGCGATTGTAGAACCTTTTGATATTATCACTTCATTGCTTTGCCTGTATTGGTCAGTTTTGCTCTTATTTATATGTAAAATCAGAAAAGAATCTTGTATATCAATGTCAAGAAAATGCAAAGAACTAAGTTCATCGTATTTAAGGAAACCTGCAAAAAAAAAAGGTAGTATCATAGTTAAATCTCTTAACACAAGTAGATCAGAACAATCTTTGAACGTATCACATAGTTCTATTAAAACTTCTGTAGTAACTGGATCTTTCTTCTTTGTCTTTTTTTGCCAACTCTTTTAGACGCTTTTAGTATACCGGTAGATGTAACAAAAGTGTTTGTGGTGGATCTTTTAAACCGTTGATTTCGTGTGCCCATTTTATACCATATAATATTGCATTATACACTGGATGATAATTAGTGGAACCGTTGTTAACTAAGTCTGTAAGGTATAGTGCGAGATGCACGGGTTGAGCTGGCAAAGCAACATGTCCATGAAGAGTTATAAAACATTCCTATCTTTTAAAAGCATTAAAATAAGATTTGACTGTGTTGTCATTTCTGCTATTAATTAGAAGTTCGCACATTTTTGGATAAAGCCTATATAGATAACTGTCACCATCAATGCCGCTATTTCTAATGGCCTCCTCTACTGTACAATCTAATTTGGTCCCTGTTAAAAAAGAGAAGAATCATAAATATTTTGGTCTAAAATTGTATTCTTAGACCAATCAACCTAAATTTCAAAAATTGTTATCCAAATTATATGCCACTTTGACCACGGCCTTTTCTGGTCAAGTTTTCTCCCTGAAAAAAATTGTGTGCAACTATGAAAGCTTTCATGTTCCCATTCTCATCTATTATCATAGGCCAGTAAGGTGCAGAGGTCCACTCTGGTATGACTCAAGTAGCCTTGCATTTTTCTTGTTTTAATTTGTTTAACACTTTTGGAATCAAGGTTGGTGGTGGTACAAAAAGTGAGCCAATTATTTTTACCTTTCCAGTCAACTGTGAAAGCGTTAATACCTGATGTTCCTGGACACCAATATTTTGAATTGAAGTGCTTACACTTCGTGTTGTAGTCATGTGCAAACCTATCGGCGTTATGAGGACCCCACAAGTGATCTAGATATGTAAATATTTCGTCCTGCACCTCCCAGTCATTACATCTGATTGTCTACTTATCATGTCAGCGTGTGTGTTTTGTTCACGTGGAATCCAAACAGAACTTAATCTAATTGATTGATCCTTACAAATTTCATGTATATGCATCACGTTTTCATGTAGTGACGCTTTCGGCTTCTGACTCTGAGTATGTGCATTACGTTTTTGTTATCTGTGTATACCTGGATAAGCTTACCTTTCATTACATTTATAACATTGTTTAATACTCTCTTTACTGCTACTAGCTCTCGCCAAGTTGAGCTTTTGTTTTGTTCATTTACTGACCAACTTCAAAACATTTCCTATGGTTCATCCTTTGAACCTGTGGTCAAATGACCACCAAAACCCTTGCCAGATGCATCATAGAACAAGTGATAATCTTGAACTTCATTAAATGTCAACTGACATAATTGAGATCATGTCTCGTTCATGCTACTTATATTCTGTAGCCAAAATGTGCACTCTTTAAGTCCTTCTGTACTAACTAGTACTTAAGCATTTCAACTTGCTCTATACAATATAGATTTGTATAAATATCTAGATCTTAATCGTACCTGGTCACCTTTTACTGCCTGCATAGATATAATTTGACCTA